AAAAAAAAAAAAAAAACAAAAAATTTTCCATTTCAAAAAGTAAACCTATTCTTTAATCATTTCAATCAGATTTATTTTTAAAAGAAATTAATAATATATATATATATTTATATATATATATATATATTATAATATATAAAAAGATGAATTTCCCTGATCATGTATTATTTAATATAAATGTTGCCGTGGTGGCAATGATATTAAGGAAAAGATATGGTTATGAATTTGAACGAGATGATGATTCAAAATGTGAGTAAAATTAATTATTAATAATTCAATTTAAATTTATCTTCTATATCTAATCGTTCGTCTGTTTTAATAGCAATCAAGTCGAATGAAATGTGGGAAATGACTGAAACCCTTCATAATATTTTAATCGATTGTTTAGGAACTGATGATGCTATATTAGATTTCATAAATTGGTTTTTCGATGGTATACGAAAAACGTTTGAATCAGAAAATAATTTTTCTTCCCGAAATAATTCTTCCTTCTCTTTACAACATCATCATCAAATATTAGTATTTCCTGATACTTGCTTTCAATGTAAAAAACCTTATACTTCCCCTTTGCCAAATGATAAATGGTGTAATGCGTGTGAATCTCATGTATTTGAATCAAAATTTCATATTTGGACGAGTGGAAATGTGGAACTTGATGGATTTATTCGACAATCTCAATTGGAAGCAACTGAATCTACAGATTTCCTAAGATGGGTGGATTTTTCCGCTTTTACTGACATGAATCAAATTGGTAAAGGTGGTTTTAGTGAGGTTTATGTCGGAAAATGTACAAATGATCGTTTGGATGGGACCTTAAAACAATGGGTGACAAATATGGAATGTCAAATTATATTGAATTATGTACAATGTCGTAATGAAGATCTTAAAGAAGATTTTGAAGACATACCTTTAGAAAAATGGGAAAATATTTTGTCAGACTTTGTCGATAAAATGAAACTTATTTACCGAGATAGAAAAGCATTAAAGTGTAAACCACGTGATCTTTCTGATGAAAATCAGGAACATAAAGTAAGTATTAAGTCGTCTTAACTAGTAAAATTATAATTATTTTGACTATGGATACTATTACTCTTATTTATAATATTAATAGCTTATAATGTTTTATTAGGTTAAGAGAACTAATAGTTTTACAAGACTTAAGAGTCTTTTAAAAAGAAGACCAAGTAAAAAGAAGAATAAAAATGTAAGAATTATTATTTATTATTTATATTATTTATTAATGGTTATCATGAGATTCATGATTTATTCATTTTTTTTTTTTTTTAGAAATTATTACTTAATCCCAAACTAAACGAGCCTAAGAAAAAAATCACTCAAATACCTTCAACTGTTTCTCCGTTACGGAGTAAGTTTGTTCCAAAAACAGTTGTATTAAAACGATTATTAGATTCACAAAATTTAAGTTCAAGTTTTATCAACGAGGTAATTATCACTTTTTTTTTTAACACTCGATGGAGAATTTAATTTATACTTGAGTTCGCTCTTTAATTATTTTTTTTTTTTTTACCCTTTCTTAAATTTAGATAAAAACACATTATCTTTCGTTAAAGAAATCCTCAAAAGTACCAAGAATGTATGGTTTTACGCAAGATCCGGTAACAAAAGATTATTACATAGTGTTACAGTATGCAAATGACTTAGACTTAAATAGATACCTGGCTCATAATTGTGCTAGCATAGATTGGTGGCAACGTATAAGTATATTAGATGGAATTGTAAAAGGAATTTATGAATTACATAAAGAAGACTTAATACATCATAATTTACACACTGGTAATATATTAGTTAGACGTACTAGAAGAAAAGAGGTCGAGAGAATAAGTTTAAGAAATCCTTCATCATCTGTGAGAATATGGATTTCTGATAGTGGTTTACAAGGTCCTGCTGGCTCATCGAATGAAAATAATGATTTAAATTCATCATCCTCTCCTATCGATGAGAATAGTAATATCATATCTAATTCACGAAAAGAAATTTATGGAGTATTGCCTTATATCGCTCCTGAAGTTTTACAAGGTAAAGAATACACAAAAAGTTCAGATATATATAGTTTAGGTATTATTATGTGGGAATTATCAAATGGTGCTACTTTAAAAAGACAACAACGTCATAAGAGACCTTTTCATGATCAACCTTATGATAAAAATTTGGCAATGGAAATTGTAATAAACGAAAAAAGACCCAATATAGCTACATCTCCTGATATACCAGAATGTTGGTTAGATTTGATGAAAAAATGTTGGGCATCAAAACCGGAAGATCGACCTAATATTGAAAACATCATGACAATTACTAATGCATGGAATGCAGAAAGGAGAAAGTCTTTGAATTTGGAATCGAAAAGTTCTTTGCCGTTTTCATTAATTCATACTGATCACAAAATTGATGAAAATATTGTTGGACAATTTATGGAAGCTGAGAAGAGAAGAATCGAAAGATTAAACAAAGGAAAGCAAGTGGAGAGAGATGATAAACCAATTGTTGATGAAGAAATTTCAGTTGGTGCAACTGAATCCGTTAATCAAGATGATGATGATAATCATCAGGAAGTTTCGATGAAAAGTCAATTAATTGACTTTATAATTGAAATACCAAATGAGAATTTGAATGAAATTTATGGAGATTCAAATTCTCATCACGAAGGAATTAAAAAAGAGAAAGTTGATAGTGGATATCAAAGAGAAGATCAAGATGATGAAAGTTTGGAGTTGCAAGAAAATATTAATCAAATAGAAGATGAAATTGAACCTGAAAAGACCATAGAAGAAGAAAAGAATTTAAATAAAAATATTGAAGGTAAAAATTTTTTTTATTGATTAATTAAAATGAAAGTAGATACTAATTTCTTTTTATTTGTATTATCAGATAAACAAATTGAACCAATTATAGTACAAGACGACAGGAAAAAACATGTTAAAATCGATGACAATCAATTAGGTAACTATTATAACTATTATAATAACTTTTTATATTAAAATTATTAATCTATTGATAATTTAATAATTTTTTTTTATTTATTTAGTAGTTAAACAAGATAATCAAGATAGTCCAATTAAAAATGGCATAGAAGCAAATTCCGAAACTGGATCAAAAGGTAAATAAATCAGTCATAATGTTTTTTGTATATAACAATGAAATTTTACTTACCCGTTTTTTTATTATTTTTATTAGAAATTAATATAATTAAAGAGAAAGAACCATAAAAAAAATTTACAATTATGACATCAATTTTTATGAATCAATTTCTTATTCCAATCATTTATTCATTTTCATTTAATTCATTATATCTATTTTCGTGTAAATGTGTGTATATTCGATATAATGTTTTTCTTGGAGTTATTTATATCATCAATAAATACTGCGTATTTATGTATTTATGTTAATTACGACATTACGGGTTTTTTATTTTAGTTTATAGAATTTTGTGTATTTTTATAATTAATTTTTTATAGAGGGAAGTTGTATTATTATATAAGGATTGAAACATACATATATAAAAAAAAAAAAATTAAAAAATCATATATATATATATTCATTTAAAATAGTATACTCATTTTTTTTTTTCAAAAAATAAGATATATAAAAATAGAAATTACTAATTTTCGCTTAGTGTTACAAAAATTTAATAAAAATAAAAAAACTATATAAAATTTGAACTATAATAGTTTCTGGGCTGGGTTTAATCAATATCTTTACTAAAAATAAATTAAACAATACAACCATGCTAAATGAAATTCTTAAAATACTTCAATGTCTTGCTTACCTTTCAATGACTGTTAAGAACAGTTATTCATTAGCTAATCGCGTCCAAGAAAGATTCGTTACTTCAATTACTAAAACGGAGATTCAAGAAATAATTGAAGAAGTGGAAAGGCAAATTACAATATTAGATAAAGAAATAAAAGAAAAAGAAAGTAATTTATTAAGTAGCAATCCAGAAACAGAGGAAGAATTGTTTTTGCCTACTAGATTAAGAGAGGATTATTGTTCACCTGAAAGATTAGACGAATGGTTAAGAGGTTGGGAGTTTATTGATAATCATGACTTTTCTGATGAAGAGAAAATTCTGGTTGTTGATAAAGAATTGGCCGTTAAAGAAAAATTACGAGATGGGTGGAGTAGACTTCGTTGTGAGCTATATGTTATGTTAAATGACTAATTTTCTTTGCTCTTAAAATGTCTAATACAACTAAACTCGACCTTAAACCTCTTATCTCCAATCGTAATTTCTTAATTGAAATTATACAAATTGTCGTACTGATTATGAAAAAGCGGGAGCAGTTTAGGCTTTTGAGGTTTGTTACGATTTAGCCAAAATACTATCCGTAAAGTCTTACTATTACGAGCCCAAGAAGTTCATATTACTCCCCGTTTAGCTGGACTAGAAGGATTTATTCCCAATGCTGAAATTTGATTTGCTAAAAAAAGAAATAAAACTAGCCATACTTATAATGGCGAAGTAGCCACCGAGATTTAAAAAGTTTGAGTATTTTATTATCTAATAGTTATCAAGTTAAAATATCAGATTTTGGTTTATCAAAGAGTAAAATTATTAGTGCTTCTAATTCGACACATGATACTACTGGAGTTTGTTTAGTCGGTATCCGGAAATGAGATTGAACTTGTTTAATTCTAAGGTAATGAGTAGCGGGGAAAGTGGAGAATGTTGACCGGGGCGAAATTCTTTTATTGGAATGCGAATGAATTAACTACTTTAATTAATAAGTGTTTGGAGAATAGTAGTAAAGATGGATTAGAGGCAAAGATTAAGAGTATTAGTGATGAGAATTTTTTTAGCCAAATAAAAGTTTTTTTCTTTCTATTCATGCCTTTTTAAAGCATTAAATTCCTTGACCGCCGGAATCAAGTCATCATTGCTCGCTCCAACTGGTTGAACTATTGAATCTGCTTTTTTCGCTATCTCCAAAGTTCCTTGGCTCGTGCGGGCAGGAGCGTCAACTATTATTAAATCATATTTACTAGTTAGCGGTCAAACTTCTTTAACTGAATTAAAACACTTGGCAATCAATTTTGCCTTTAATTTTACTCATTCATAACTGGTTAATTGTTGCAATCTGCTAATAATACTTTAAGTTTTTGCTTTTGAACTTCTATTGCCACTGCTCGGGACAGAGTGCTTTTTCCCACTCCTCCTTTTTGGCTAATAAATGCTATTATGGTCATACTCTACCGATAAATCTCTCAGTACAAATTAATTAACTCCTTTTAAGCAAGATGATGCTGTGCCCAAATTTTTTAAGTTTAGCTAGTATATTAGTATATTAGATCACTAAAATATGCCTCCGACTATGTTCTTTACCTTCCTTAAAGTCACGTGAAATGTTAAAGATTTTCATTTTTCGAGATTGCCGATCGATTATAAATATTCGTTGCGCCAATTCACGTGATATTCAAAAAAATTATAAATCAAAAAGCGAGATCAGATCTATGTACTAATTGATTTCTTTTCCTAAACGATGGCTGTAACAGATAATATACCCGAACATTGTCCAGTATGTATTTTTGAAACTTGTTATACTCTTGTGAAATATCAGAAATACTTATCTTTATGATCATTTATTTGACAGGGACCAACCACTGAACAGGCAGGAAAAGCTTCGGCCTGTCAAGGTTGTCCAAACCAAAATGTATGTGCTACAGCTCCAAAGGGACCAGATCCGGGTATGTTTATGTTAATTCACTCTTTTTTTTTGATTGATATTTTAAATTTTAACAAATAAATCTTTTGATAATTCATTAGACTTGTTACTTATTAAGGAAAGAATGAGCTCGGTTAAACATAAAATTCTCATATTATCAGGTAAAGGTGGAGTAGGTAAAAGTACATTCACCTCCCAACTTGGGTTTGCTTTTAGCAGTGATGAAAATATTCAGGTAAGGTATAAATACTTTTATATTTTTTAATAATTATCATGCTAAATTCCTCTTATTTCATTACAGGTTGGAGTTATGGATATTGATGTGTGTGGTCCCTCAATTCCGAAGATTATGGGATTAGAAGGAGAGCAAATTCATCAAAGTTTATCTGGATGGTCACCAGTATATGTACAAGAAAATTTAGGTGTAATGTCAATTGGATTTATGTTATCAAATCCCGATGATGCAGTAATTTGGCGTGGACCGAAAAAAAACGGCAAGTTCGAGTTTTTAACAATTGTGAGCCCTTAAATATGAAAGTATTTTTTTTTAATTTGTTTTGTTATTTTATATTACAGGGATAATTAAACAATTTTTAAAAGATGTTGATTGGGGGGATATAGATTATATGTTGGTAGACACACCACCTGGTACATCAGATGAACATTTATCAATTACTCAATATCTTAAAGAGAGTGTAATTGATGGAGCTATTATAATTACAACACCGCAGGAGGTTGCTTTACAAGATGTTAGAAAAGAAATAGACTTTTGTAGAAAAGTAAAAATTCCTATTATTGGAGTTGTTGAAAATATGAGCGGTTTTATTTGTCCTAATTGCAAGGTAATAATAATAAATGGAGATCAATATTATTATTTTAAATTTTAAATTTTAATTGTTCTATTATATTTAGGGAGAATCAGTAATATTTGCTCCAACAACTGGTGGTGGAAAGAAAATGGCAGAGGATGAAAAAGTTCCCTTTTTGGGATCTATTCCTTTAGATCCCAGAATAGGTATGATATTTAATATTTATATTTATAAAAAATTTGTATCATTTTTTTTTAACCCATATTATGTTATCTATAGGTAAGGCTTGTGATACTGGTGTATCATTTTTAGATGAATATTCAGATTCTCCAGCCTGTAAAGCATTTCAAGATATTATTGCAAGTAAGAAATCTTTTTAAGTTTAATAAATAAAGAATATATTTAATATTTGAATACATTCTAATTGAGATTTTGCTTTTTATAGAAATTAAAACACAAATCAATTAATTAAATTATAAATAAGAAAATATTTGTAATATAACATGAATCAATATTTTTATATTATTTGCTGTATTTTAAACTATTTTCATTAATTATAAAAAAAATTTAAATAAATATATTTTTTGTTTTTTTTTATTTATAGTTAACTTTAATAAATTCAATTTTTTAATTACAACTTATATATTAAATAATATCAATGACAAAAGTTTTTTTAAAAGAATGATTAGCTAATAAAAATACAAATTTTAGTTTTACTCAGATTTATAATGATTTTTAATTTCTAATTATATAATTATATAATAATTACCATATAATAGGGTTACAGTATTCCAGATATGATACAGATTTCAGAGGTTTTGACTTTATACGTACCCCACCATTGTGTGAGTTTTTATTATTAGTAGATATGTATAAAACTTATATAATAATTGAGTATTTATCATGCATAATACCTAGGCATTTATTAAATTATTTTAAATAATAAAATCAGTAGAAAATGTAAGTTCTTTTTTGTAGGGTATTGTACATAGGAGGAGTACCGTGACCCACAAAATATGGTAATATAATTCCTATTAAAATATTATATAATTACTTTTTTTAACATTATTCTTAAAAAAAGCAGGTCATATTAATATAACTGGTAAATCAGAAATATGACAAATTAAACTTCTACTTGTATAGATAATTACTTTTTTCAATTTATATTATACATTTTATACTACTATTTAATACAAATTATAATACTCTTTTATATATAGTATTCTTCTAAAAAATCTCTAATTTTTATCTAAATAATTTATTTATAATAAAAAATTTTATATACATTCAAATACAGTATTTTTTTTTTATTTATTTATTTATTATAGATATAGTTCTATTACCTTTAAATACAGTATTAAAGTACTATAATCTACATTATAGTATTTTAATTATAATAATTATTATCAATATTATCTATATTTTTTTTAATTACTAATAAATATATTTTAAAATTTATTTATACTTTATAATTCTAAAAAAATGCAGTTAACCCTTATTATAATGAACTCTAGGGTCCAGACTTCAACTTCGCTATAAGACTATAGTAAAGATTTTAAGAGATTTGATTAATTAATTCATTATAACGAGGGGAAATTTATTATAGTTATCTGAAAAATTTACTATATTAAGAATTCACTATATCAAGGTTTAATTGTAAAAACTTTTTTTGTTTTAAATTATTATAATGCAATTTTTTTACAATTACTGTAATTTTATTTAAATATTAATACCTACTCCCTTTAAGGGTAAATTTAAAAAAAAAATATTATTATAATTCATTAGTAAACTTTGATTAGTAAACTGCATATAATATTATTAATATCAAAAATAAAAGTATAAAATTATATAAATAGAATTTTACTTTACTTATAATAGAAGTTACTATAGAAAGTTAATATTTCAGTGTTAATGGTTTTGGATGCTGGTGTAGTTAGTTATTTTTTAGAAGTTTTGTGATAATAAATACTAATAGAACTAGTTTTTAAAATAAACATAGTTTTTTTCTTTTTTTTCATATTAAAAGTAAGCTGCTAGAATTACTATTCAAGTTCTATTTAATTATTTTAGCATAAGAAATTTGCTTATTCTTTCCTTTAAGAATAAAAGAAGTGACATCTGCTTTGAGAGTTACAAGTAACACTTTAATTTGTATTACTTCTTTCTTAATTTATACTACATTCATATTAATTAGTGATTGGTACTTAGTATAAGCAAAAATTTTCATATTTATTAAAGTGTTTTCTGTAAAATTAAATACATAATTAGTATATTGTGATAATGTCAACAACATAAACTATATATGACAATTAAAGTGGATTAAAGTTTCTTTTCAAATTTTGTTAACTTTCTAATTAAGTAAGAGCTAAAAATGTTAAAAATATATAAAAATATAATAAAGAGAAAATGAAAAAGTTTATTAAGGTCTTTTACTCTAAAAGTTCTGAAAACATTTTAGAACTTTAAAAAAAAGCTTTATAAAAAATCAAGTTTTTTTTACTGATAAGTTTAATGATATCTACTATATACTATGCTTCACTTATGTTGTTAGCATTGTATTTATTTAGACTAACCTTTAAAAATTTAAAAAAAGAACTATCTTTAATATTATTAATAAATTATTTGACTTTTAAATAATCAACTACAAGTCATTTGTAATTAGGAATGGGGTCAGTTTGATTACGTAATTTTGAGTGGATCTTTAGAACTGATCAAAATCTCATGGGTTTTAAATTTATATGAGTCAAAAATCTTATTGGGAATAGAGAAACACTAATATTTTTACAATAAATAAAAAAAAGAAAATTTATAAGTTAAAACAATTTTTAATAGCTTTTAAAATTGAACCGAATCAGTTCTAAACTGGTTCTAAAAACCAGTTCAAAATATGATCAATATCAAAATTATGATGATCATGAATCAACTATTGATTGTTAACCAATCAAAATTTTTTTAATTCATAATCAATATATGTTCGACTTGTGTCTTTAATTTGACACATATAGCTCATATTTTTCTTAATGGGAACTGATGTGAAACTGACGGCGAACCGAAATGAAACTAAACGAACCATTTCCATCCCTATTTGTAATTACTAAAAGCCATTTTTTATTAAAAAAATTTCTTGATAATTTCCAATTATTATTATTTTATTTTCATTTTATTAATTACTTTATAATATAAAATTTAATATTTCATTATTTTTATTTAACTAAAATATTCATTATATTTCTTTTCATTTCCTATTAGCTTTAATATATTACTATTAATTAAACTTTTATTTCTAAAATATAATAAATTATGTTTAATAATAAATAATATCACTAATAAAAATATTTATTCATTTTTTTAATCAAATATTATAATTTATTTTTTATAGTTAGTGATTTCATTAAGAATTTTTATAATTAAATATTGCCAAATTTATATAAAAAATATAATATTATTTATAAATATCATTAATTTTAAGCAAATGTAATTTTTAATGGCTATAATTAAAATAGCATGTAGTTAAGAAATAATATTATTACCTATTTATATATTGTTCAAAGTCTTAATTAATTTTATTATATTGAAATAAAATTGAAATAATCATAAATGTAATTTTTTCTATAAAATAATAATAGTGTAATAATTTTATATATTCTATTAACACTAAAAGTTTACACTATTTATTACTAATATCTCCTTTATAATCAACATAATTATGAACTAAAATAAAGATTAAACAAATAAATATAAAATAATATAAAATAAAAAAAAATTTACAAAAAAAAAAATGTAATTGATATTATAATATTAAAAAAAAACTTTTAATTTATCATATGTTTAAGATTTAAATACTTTTATATTATAGTAAAAATCTATATAAAAGATAGTAAAAATCTATATAAAAGAACTATTACATCTTTCTAAACTTGCACTTCAGTTTTTGGTATTCTTCTATCATAAATAGGATAAGTGCTGGAAAAAAAAATTAAATTAAAATTTTTTCAAAAAAAAGTTTATAAGTAAAATAAATGTAAATCTAATTATTTAATTCAGATTATTTGTTATTTTAAAAAAAATTTTTGTTAATTTAATTCTGTCCTTTTTCTAGCATTTATTTTAAATTAACTGTAAAAGAATTTTTTACTTTAAAATAATTTATTAGAGATATTAAAACTTAAAATAAATAAAATATTTATATTAAAAAGCTTAAAAAATAAAAAAAAAATATTTGTTAAAAAAATGGTTAAATGCATAAGGGCAGTGACATTTATTACGTAATATTTTAGGGGGTGGGAGGGTATTTAAAGGTCATGTAACATATAAGTGTAACGTAAGATTTTTCATATTACATGGGGGTGGGGGAGTATGGGCTTATAGTAAAGGGATATTACGTAATAAATGTCACTGCCCTAACTAGAAAGAGTTTTTATTTGTAAGAGTCATGAATCTAGTATTTCACATGAATTGATTCATAAATAACTTTTGATTTAGCAGTCTGATTTCAATGATTTTTTTTTATTTTAATCAGAGCAATAAGAGCTATCAATTAAAAAACAATTATTAAAATCAAATCACTAGATTTGAAATAATATTTTTTGGAATTCAAATCAAATTTAAATCAAATTCAAATCAAATTAAATTTCAGAGGAAAAATTTGATTTATGCAGAATACTAAACTCATGACATATATTAGTTGATATTTTAGAAGGTGGAAAGTTAAGTAAAATTTTATATGATATAAAATTAAACATTTTTTATTTTACTTAAATATTTAAAAGTTGCCTATAATTATTAATGATTAAATTATAATAATCTTTGCACCATTCAATTCATTTTATTGAGAAAATTCAAATAATATACTGTATTTTATAGATTATAGTATATGGAGGACTGTATTTAAAATTATATAATATAATGTAATTTTAGCTAATTTTGATTTTAATTTTAATTAAACCTTTAAAACCAAAATATTTTGACTTTTGGCTTTTAATTTTAACTTTATATATAAATTTAAACTATTATTTGAATTAAAACTAAATTGATTCTACAATTTAAGTTGATTTAATTTATACTTAACAATATTATTTAAAATACTATTATTAGTATTAATTTAATAGTTAATAAATTATATAAAAAGAAAAATAAATGAGTTTTAGAAAAAAAACAGCAATTTTATAAAACAAAAGTAGCTAATATAAAAAATAGAATTTTTTTATAAAAAAAGTTCTTTTTATTTTATACTAAAGAATTATTATTATTCTGAAAAGAAGGTTATATTATTTGTTTTTCTTACTCAAAGTAAAAATACAGGAGATACCAAATAAAATGAATTCAAATAAAAATTATATATTCTCTTATAACACTATAGCAAGTTCTAATTTTTTTTTTGTGAAAACTTCAACTATTATATAAAAATAGATATTTTATTAAACACCAAACACCAATTAAAAAAAATTAGAAGAGAATAATAAATTAAAACTTTACTAAATTTATGCTTTTGATAATTACAGTATTTTATATATATTATAATAATTAAAATCTTATAATTAAAAAACTTGGTTGATTTAAAATAATGTAAACTTATTCGTCATATAAAATACCATTTTCATATTAATTTATAATTACATTTTTACTCAATTTTCTAAAAAAACATAATAGCACTACAATATTTACAAAGTGGAATTAATACCCTTATCTTCCTGTCTTCCTTTAAACCAAAACTGAAAATATAAAAAAGCGTAGAAAAGTTATAAAAACCATCCATAATTCTAACGTAAAGTAGTTTAAAAGATGAAGCGCATGTGTGATAGTCGCAAACCCCCACTTTTAGAAATACCTATTAAATCTTCGAGTTTCACTTTTTCTTTTTCTCCCGGCAAATCAACGAGATGTTTATTAATTAATAATTTTACATTGCTATCTGATACAATAAACAAATGTTCTAACTACTTCTAACTACAACTCTAACTACATTATATCGTGATTTGTCCATTAACTATCAAAATATCAATAAATGAAAATAGAAAAATACTGTATATTACAAATATCAATTGTTAGTGCGATCCACCAACTTTTATTTTTTTAAGAACTACTATATTATTAAGGCAAATGTGCCTACTAAAAAGTGTATATATATATAAAAATCGCTAGTCATATATATTCAAATCTACTATTTACTGTATGGAAAGGGATGAACGAAATTAAAGAAATAGAGAATAAAGAGAAATTGTATGAAGGAGGATGAAAAGTTAAACAAACACGCGTTAAAAAAAAAAAGTAAAGTTACAACAAAAAAAAAAAAAATAACACGTTTCGTTTAAATGTCTAAAGAAAATATTACAAATTAAGAAATTTTAATTATTAAAAATTTTTAAAGTTTATAAAATTTACCAAACTTCGACACGTTCTAAATTTTTTCTATCACTTTTAGATTTTTCAGCGTATTTTTTGTTTAAAGCCATGGATTTTTTTAATAGTTTATATTTTTTAAATTCAGGATCTCTATTAGTGTCCCCTTTAACTAAATTTTGATTAGATTCCAATTCAGCGTCAGAAATTAAACTAGACATCAATTTTTGGGAATAAATTTTATGAAGTTTGGTATTACTACGACGAGTTTCTTTCCAATTTTTGGATGATACTGAGGTTTCGTAATCTACGTCATGATCGCCTTTTAATATGTCATTTTCGGATTCGTCGTTTTTCACAACTTTTGAAGAGGAAGATGATTTCTTTTCTTTATCATCATTTTTTGATCCTTTTGGAGAGGTTGAAGAAGATTTCTTCTCTTTATCATCGCCTTTTGAAGAAGTTGAAGAAGATTTCTTCTCTGATGAAATTTTATTTGTTATATTGACTTTATCGTTGTTAGATGATGATTTACGTTCACCCCATTTAGCAGCGGCTGCGTATGTTGGATTTTTATGAGCTTGTATAAATTGAAATTCTTCTTCATCATCTACAGAATGAACAGAGTGGACTGTAATACGTTGAGCCAAGTCAATATCCTCTTCAATATCCCATTCGCTGATTTCTTCCCAATTTTCGGCCATAATAATATCTATGTCAAAGTATATCAAAAATACGTGTGTGTGTTTTTTTTCCTTGGAGAAAGAAGAAAATGTAAAGTTATTTATTTAATAAGATAAGAAAAAGCTTTCAAAGGGGGATTTTATTAGTTATATGATTCAAGCATGAGAAAAATTGGATGCATTTATATTAAATTTGTAGTACATTGTTGCAAAAAAAAAAATATCATCGGCCGTGAACAAAAGAATATGCGCCGCGCGGGAAAATTTATTTATATTGTATATTGTAAACGGAATCTCCTTTTTCCCCTGCGGAAATTTATCATAATTACTCAAATTAATAATAATTATTCTAATCAGTCTTTCTTATATATAATCCCTAATTTGGATAGCAATTAATACAGCAGTTTATTTTTAGATGTGCAGTTTTGTATGACAAAACTAATTTCTACAATGAATACCAGAATTTCCAAAATTTTTTTCCAATTTTCTATTCTCCGCAGTTACCATGCTGCGTTTTAATTTACGATAATTGGTATAATTGGTATACAAACAAAAAACAACAAAACGCAGTAATCTGCGCAGCATACGCGCAGCTTAGAAATTTCTGAAATTTCCTGTAATATCTGTCTGATATGATAACATTAAAAAGCGTCATTTTTATTTATTATATAGTCATATCTGTCATATCTAACATATCTGATCAAATATATTACACATATTGCTTATATTGCTTATATAATTATCATATTTATTATATTTATTTCCGCAAGTTTTTAGTCGATCCATGTGATGTACCCCCCAAAAAAATGTGGTTTATCTCGTGTCCCTTAAAATGAAACAAAGAAACGAATGCATAAAGATAACGCAATTATTATTTTAATTTTTCTCCTTAAGAGACCAGATTTGTTTATATTATTAATTAAAACGCGATGTTTCTTATCATCACATTATCGGGCGCATAATATTAAAGTCACAAGGTCTATCACAACAAAAATGAGTCATTGAAACTAGATTTTAATTGTATAATTTTTACGTAAAATTCCGTTCTTATGGATCTGAAGCGTGTCATTATTTTAATGGTTGCACATTTATTGATCTACAAGGTCTACAAGGTCACCTGGCTTATATCGTTGGTAGTACGCTGCCTATCAATCACCCAACCATGAGTTTTTATCAAAAGAATGACAATAATCAATTTAAAATATTAAGGTGGTTGTCCACCAATTTTGGGTATAAATAACCGGTTCATCACTTAAAATACCATGTGGATTTATTATTCATTTTCTTTCGGTAGATATTCAAATGATAAAATAAACTCTAGATACAATTATCTTCTGGTAGATTTTCAGATGACAAAAAAAACTCGATTAATGTGACCCTCAAAAAAGTAATTATCGCCAATCTATCTTGTTCGGTATCATTTCTCCATGGTTTATAGATTTCCCGAAAAAAACTGAAAATTAGAAAGAACGAATTAGTAATTATTCGATTGAAGTCGTGACATAAGAAAAAAATGTTGTTTGATAAACTGTCAGGGTTAAAAAGCTCAATTATTTTTTTGTATTCATTCGATTCTACACCGTCATGTGAAGAAATTCAAATAAAAAATTACATCATTCAGTTCTAATAATAACTATTACCAAGATTTTTTATGTACCTTATCATATAACGTAATTTATTTACCAAATAGATATTGATCTCTAGTCATCTCATCCAAGCTTGAAATATTACAAAAATAAATCTTCTTTAGTATGCCTTATCCAAAGGTGAAGGTTTTAAGCATGATGATTACATCAACTGTATCATGTAAAAAAAAAAAAAAAAAAATTCTTAAATAATAAATGAATATACTTCACATTAACAGATTTCGTAAATAGTAAATCCAACTTCTCTATTTAATTCATTTATAATATTTACGTTATGTTTATTGAAGCGGTAAAATACTCGCAAATTAAATGTCCATATTTTATAATATTATGACCATAGAAAGAAAAGTAAAAAATTTTTTTTGTGTATTCAATTTATATTAATTTCGATCTGCAAAATTGATTATCTAATATAAACTGATGAGTGGCTTAGCAATAATTTTTTAATATTTTTTTATTTTTCTTTTCGATTTATTTGTTGTTTTTTCCTTGATTTTAATTATTTTTAAATAGAAATTGGCGTATTTTTAATTTCGATTTATAAGTATTAAAGCATGATTAAATAATGACTTTGTTTAAGAAACTTTGTAATCAAAAAAATATAGCATTTTTTAACCAAGTTAGATTATTTTATATACGTGAAGTTTGCTATAATGAAAGTTTTCATAAACCAACTTTTTACATAAATAATACGAAAGGAAATTTAAATTTTTTTGAAAGAACATTCTCTACAAAAAATGAAATAGATAATGTAAATATTGTTGAAGAAACAGAAGAATTGAAAGATTTATCAGGTTTGAGAGAATTCTCAAACGATAAAGATAGAATAATTGAGAAAGATAATAGAGGATTTCGTGCTATAACATGGTCTAGATTAGAAACAAAAGTTTTAGATAACCTTGTTGAAAAGTATGGTAAAAGCTGGGAAACAATTTCTCAATATATGTTTGACAAAACACCACAAGAATGTAAAGTTCAATATGAAAAGATAAGAAGACAACAAGATTCCAATTTTAGTTACCAATTTATGGATTTACCTGAATTTACAGATGATGAAATTGATCAAATAAACATTTTAATTCAAAAAAATGGACGTAATTGGCGCAGGATTGCAAAATTGTTTCCCGATAAATCATCACTTGATATTGAACGTTTTGTAAAAGATAATTCAGATAGATTCCCATCCCTTTATAGTGACCCAATATTTATAAAACGATACAAAGGATCAACATGGACAGATAATGATTTAAAATCCCTTAATGAACTTCTTATGAAGCATGGACGAAATCTTGATGCAATTTCACAAGAACTACCTCATAGAACTCCTAAATCTATAGAGAGAGCCATTTCTAAACATATGTTAGATCTTCCTGCACTTCATTCAGGAAAAGTTGCAGACTGGTTTAGGTCATCAACTATATGGAGTGAATCAGAAACACGTTCATTAAACGAATTAGTTGAAATATATGGTTTTAATTGGGAAAAAATTTCAGAATACCTTCCAGGAAGATCACCACTTTCTTGTAGCTCAAAATTTTATGCTAGTTGGTCAACTTGGAATAATAAGGTGACCGCTCTAGTACCTCATAAATGGCCTAAAGAAGTAATACAATTCTTAGATCTTTTAATAGAAAAATATGGGAAATGGCAAATATTACCGATTCTTGTATCAGGAATGACACCAGCAAATTGGTTTTCACCTTTTTCCCCTCAATCAAGAGTTTGGACAATAAGTGAGAAACAAATTTTACAATATTTGATAAAAACTAATGGATATAATTGGGAAAAAATTTCTGAGTATTTTCCTCATAGGCAACGTTGGACAATTATACGTGAAGTACTTGGTAATATTGAAGATTATGGATCTACGTATTCGGATGAAAATGTTTCGACATCAAATCTTATAAATTCAAAAAAACGCAAAAGACGCTCTTTTTATTGGCCGTATGAAGAAGTAAAAAAATTATATGAACTTAAGGAAAAATATTCATCTAATTGGTATAAAATATCGGAAGAACTCCCTGGAAGGGCTCCCGCTGCATGTTATCTTAAAGATTTCGTACTATTGAATGCGCGTAAGAAAATTAATTATAAATTGGATGTACTCGAAATATGTCATTTACAGGAACTTCTCAGATATCATGGATCTGATTGGGAAGCAATTGCGAGTCATATAAAAAAAGATCCAAATGAAATTAAGGACATTGTAAATGAATATCCTGAAATTTTCCCCTCTGTATTATTCGGATTACAAATAAAAAATACGGCCAATTGGACGGAAAAGGAAAAAGAATTACTTAAAAATCTTATTGCATCACAAGGAAACAATTGGAAGTTCATCAAAAAATTTTTCCCAAAAAAATCATACCAACAAATTTTTGATTATTATTATAAGCATTTAGAAGATTTTCCTGATAATTTGAATAAAAATTACCGGTCCTTTTATCGTGCTTTTTGGAATAAAGAAGAAAATGAATTGCTGAAAGAATTATTGCAAAAACATGGTAACAATTTTGAATATATTTCTCAATATTTCCCTGGAAGAACGAGTCTTGCTATTAAGACTCATATTCGTAACTACCCAGAACTTTTCTACTCTGAAAATGAACAAAATTATCGAATAGATGCAAAATATAAAAAGGATCAAAAGAGGTCAAATATGAGTTGGACGAAGTATGAAGAAGATAAATTATTAGCGCTAACGAAATCGTATCCAGTTGATTGGAATAAAATTGCTGCTGAATTTCCTTCTAGGACAATACATGCTTGCAAAGCCAAATATCGAGATTTAAAGATACACAGTTTTACAAGGATAACTTAATATTTTATCATGATTAGGTCGTGATTTTTAGTACAATTTTGGTATCATTTTTAATGAATTAATAAATAATTTAATGAACTAAAGCTTAATAAATCTAACTTACTTATTGTGTTATACAATAAATTTTTGCTTAAATTAGCTGATCATTCTTAGCCGGAATGATCGATACATTATATGCTAATGTAAAGCGGATCAATCAAGGAATCGAGGATCTACGAACCGGTTTTTTTCAGGTTCAAAACTTCCCGCGCCACGCCAAAGACATTATTTTTACAAAAATGGATTCATTTTCTGAAAAGGATCTGATACAAAACGCTGAGCGTCAACGTAAAGCAAGCTCTCTAGATTCACATAACATTAGTTACGAACAGTTTTCAAACTCTTCTTCACCTAATTCTCCAAAAAAGTCGCGACCAATCTCCATGTTTGTTCACCCACAGGAAAAATTAAATCAGACTTCCGAAGTAACAAATAATAATAATTTTAATATAATGCCTACACCAGAAAATACCATACCTCCCTCACTTCCCTCAATACCTTATCCTTTAGCTCAAGAGGTTGATGTAGCATCAGTTAATTCCTTTAAAACTGTGGAAACAAGTCATACCGGAGATCAAGAAAGTTTATGTTCTGATGTTTTAGAGAGGGCAAATAATCCACAAGGAATCATAAAGATGCTTTGTGAGCTTGATGTATGGTAAATTTAATACATATAAATTTTGATCTGAATCTTAATAACCTAAAAAAAAATTATTTTTTTTATTAGGGTGGTCTGAGTATAGCACTGGAAAGAGTTAAACAAGATGTGATATCAGCAAAAGCATGTATAACAATTTTTATATTTTAAGATCAATTAATTAAATTCATTAATATTTAATTACATTTAAATGTTAATATTAGTGATTGCATTATTTTATTTTATTAGGAAGTAGCTACTTTTTTGAAAAAAAGAGCTTCACTCGAAGAAGAATATGGAAGAATGATGATAAAAATGTCAAGAAGTTTACAAGAAAGCCATAATACTAATGATACCAAACAAGGGTTAGTTTTTTCACTTTTTTTTTTTAGTTTTCACATGGTAATTAATATATATTGTGATTTGTTTTATAATCAGATCATATGGTGAAAGTTGGATGAATATGTTAAAATTGCATGAATCTATAGGGGAAAATAGAGTTAAATTTGCAGCTGCCATTCAAGAAATATCTGAAGATGTGTCTGTTCTTTACAAAGAAACAGACAAATCAAGAAAGAATGTAGGATTTTTCGAATTATTTATAGTATAGCAAAAATAAAAATTATGATTTAATTAAAAATATATTCTTGTAATTTAAAATAGCTTAAAGATTCCGGTCATAAACATGAAAAAGCAATTCAAGAATCAGAAACAGCCTTAGAGAAGGTGATTTGTTAAATCTTTATTCAACAATACCTCAAAATTTCTAATTATAAGTGTCGTTTCTTTATTATGTTTACAGGCAAGAGGAAAGTATGAATCACACAGCGAGGATTGGGAACGTACTCTTTTACAAAAGAATGGAGATATCCCTACTACTTCAAAACCAAGAACTTTAACAAAAGTATTCTCTAAGCAATCAAAGTCACCAACACAGGTTCAATCATATTTTTTATTTGAAGTTTTAATGAGAAAATAAATTAGATTTGATCATTTATCATGAAAATGTTCTTTAGTTAGTTAAAATGGAAGAGGATGCTAGAAATAAAGCAGAAGCTGCTAACGCCACTTATAAACAACATCTAAATTCTACAAATGCAACACGACACGATTATTATGAAGTACATTTGCCCCGCATGATTACGGTAATATAAAAGAATTTATTCCACAATTTTTTGAAATATTTATACGACCTTTCTTTAATAAAAAAATAGTCCCTTAAAGATACCGCCGATGAATGTGATATAGGTCTCCAATATCATCTAGCGCGATACTCTTACCTATTTGAAAATACCATGATGAGTGATGCATTAGTTATAACTCCAGTTAATGAAGCTGATGGTAACTATGCAAACAAAGGAAAATGGATCTTCTCTCGAAAGTTTATGTTTTTAAAATAATTTTATGAATTTCTTTCTCTGAAGGTCCTGCTTTACGTAAAATCGTGGAGCAAATCAATAATGATGCGGATTTTCATACGTATGTCCAGAATTATGGTGCAAAAACAAGAAGAAAGATAATTAATTTTGACATTCCATACGATCAATATAACATGGTATTTATTAATTAAAACTTATTTTGAAGGTATTGATATTTTGTATAAATTATCTATTTACATTTCATCTTTATCACTTTTAGTCTGAGCAAGCTGTTAATATCATGAATCCCAAAAATATTTTTGGTGTAGATTTGGCCGAACAAATGCAAAGAGACGGTCAAGAAATTCCATTAATATTGGTTAAATGTTGTGAGGCGATTGAGCAGTCTGGTAAGGTTACCAACAAATTAAATATTTGTGTATTTCATATTTCGTTTGGTTTATTGACTGACAGATATTTTATAAGGGGGGTTGAGAAGTCAAGGCCTTTATCGCCTTTCGGGAGTAAAATCACATATTGAAAGATTACAAGCACTATTTGATAGAAGTAGGGTTTAAAAAAATGTATATTAATTATATGTAGTGAACAATTTTGAGTAATTAAGAATTCATACACTTATAATAGATGCGGAAGCGGTTGATTTGAATGCGGAAGAACATCTTGCAGATGTGAATAATGTCACTGGAGTTTTGAAATTATGGTTTCGTGAATTACCTGACCCACTCTTTACTAGAGAAATGTATCAAGATTTTGTTAATGCTTCAAGTGAGTTATTTGTTATTTGTGCAAGGATTCAAAGAATAAATGTTAATTAGTAATTATTTAATTCAAGAAATTGCTGATGACAAGAAACGTGTTCTTGCGCTCCATGAACGTGTCAATAATCTTCCGGATGCGAATTATAGTACCCTAAAATATCTTATGGGGCACTTAAACAAGTAAGATAATCTTTTTAATCATTTACAAAAAATTGTGCAAAATATTCTAACGAATATTGATATTTTACAGAGTGGTGGAAAACCAAGAATATAATAAGATGAATGAACACAATCTTAGTATAGTATTTGGACCTACATTAATGGGAACTCCACTTCCAGATCATTCACAAAATGATGCTGCAGGACTTAATGATATGGGCTTGCAATACAAAGTTGTAGAAACAATTTTAATGAGTTATCGTTCTATTTTTGTGATGGAATAAGTAAATTGTTGAAGAAATTAATTTGATAATTTATCCTGGTGGTAAAATATCATGTATTGATTGATAAAAAGAGATAAATAATGAACATTTTATTTTAGTTAAAATTAAAAAAATTTCATAAATATTTATTAATTCTAATTAATTATTTATTATTAATTTATAATAAGAGGTGTATGGAAAATTTGATTAATTAATGGGTTTTGAATTTTTTTTTTTTTATTAAATTTAATCAAAAGTTTACCTTCTTAAGGTAATAAAAAAATGTCATTTATTTTGTTTTTTTTCTTTATGGGGTAAAATGTTCATTAACAAAAAAAACTTTTTTATTAAAAATTAAAAAATTTATGTAACTTAGATTAATGTTATTCTATGTTCTCGTCTAATGGTTATAACTTATAAAGTTGCTAATTTGTAACGTTAGCACTACGTTAGCTTAAAATTTAATATAATATTAATTTGGAAATACGCGTAATCCGCGTAATCTATTCACGTGTTCTAAGCCTCTGAAATATTACGTAATAATCTAATAAAAAAGGACTTTGGTCACCGTAAAAAAAAACCAGCGTTGGAAAAAAAATTTTCGTAATGTCTTCAAATAATCCGGGTTCCCCATCAAAAGTATCACAAGTTGATAATAATACTGGTGATAAGCAACAGCAACAACAACAACAGGCTCAGCCACAAAAAGAATCGATACCACAACTCGGTGCTTTAGAAGAAGACGACGAATTTGAAGAATTTATTGCTGAAGGTAAAGTGATAGGATAGGAATGGTAATCATTATGATATAATTAGAATAATGCAAAATAAATTTTTGTTAATATTTTAATACATAATAACTTTCAAGAGTAGTAGTATTTTAATAAGCAAATTTAGTTTTTTTTTCTAGTTGCTTTTTAAAACATTTTACTGGTATTAATTCTTTTCATGCTTAATATATATAGACTGGAATGAAACAGAAGAAGATCAAGAAACTCATTTATGGGAAGATAACTGGGATGATGAGGATGTTGAAGACGATTTCTCTAAACAATTAAGGTTAATTGACAACTTTATTTATCTATTTTACTCTTACATTTAATTTTTGATTTAATTTATTTATTGATTTTAATTAATTTATATCAGAGCTGAAATCACAAAAGATAGTGGTAATTCACCAATGCCTATGAAAATTTAATAATAAAGTTTAATAGAGATATATAAAAATGCTTAATAGCTTTTTTTTATAAATGTTTAATAAAGCAATTTTCTAGTTAATTGATATTTCCATAATGTCTAATATGTACATTTGCTTCAGAAAGTAATATTTAATTTTGCATTATATAATAATACATTAAATATTCCTTTTTTTTTATTATTTTAAGATCATATTACATTGAATTATTTTCTTTAAATAAAAAAAAAATACTGATATAAATAGAAAATTTCAATGCTATATCAGAATAAAACTAATCATTATATTTAAGAAGAAAAGATAACTGAAAATTTACTGTAATTAAGGTAGCTATCTAGTAATAAAAGATTGAAATTAATTGTTGAATTTAAGTATAGTTTAACAATTGGGAGGTGGTCAGTAGAAAAGGGGGAAATCCAAATTTTGGTCAAAATTTTTTTTATCAGTTTACTTCACCAATCATGGTCATGGAAACAAAATTAGCTTAATAACCAAAAATCTTAAAATTTTTATTTCTACTGACTGCCTTCCAATTATTAAACATGTATCAGTTTGTATTAATTAATTTTTAACTATTAGTATTTTTCAAGTTTTACTTTTTTTGCAAATATTAAACAGAATAAAGTAATTCAGTTGTTTTTTTATTTTTTATTATAATTAAAGTAAGATTTCATAATTTTTGCATTAATGCAAATTTTATAAATTAATAAAACAAAATAAAGCAATTTGATTACTTCTTTTATTTCTTATTACAACTAGAATTATAACAATAATTTAAAGAACTGTTTTTTTGTTTAATTTTTTTACTTATAATGATTTTAAAATTAAAAGTGTAAAAAAACCAAACTACTTATATTTATACTTTAAAAAAAAATATAAAGAAAAAAAGTTTATAATTAAATACAAGTTATTTTTTCAAATAAGTAAAATATAAAGTATTGTAAATAAAAATTTTAATAAAAAAATTAATATTGAAATTTTTAATAGTGATTAATACTTATCTTTAAAAATAGTTAAAAATTAATATTGAAATTTTTAATACTTATCTTTAAAAATAAATAAAAATTAATTTAATGTCAGTTTAGATTCAAAGCTCTAATTATTACTTATTATTTAAAATAAAGTAAAGAATTATATATATTTATATACTATAAAAAATAAGTTTAGTAGTAATAATTATAATTTTTTATTGAATTTTTTTGCATTAATATTTTTTTTTTAAAGAAAATTACAGTATATTTATAAATTTATTAATATAAAATTAATAAATTATTACAAAATGTAAAATATATAACCAAAAGTTATATTAATATAATTAACTTATAAACCATTATTATTTTAAGTGCACTATTAATTAGCCATTTTTCCTATATAAGTAAATTATATGTAAAACAGATTTTCTTATACAATCTCTTATAATTTGAAAAAAGTAATCAAAAGATCTATTATATTATAATTAATAAACTTAAGAAATTTAAAAACAAACTGCAAAAAAGGGTTTATCAAAGATATATTATAATAAAATAAATAAATAAATGGTATTTTTATTTAATTAAATAATTTATAAATGATTTTAGTTAGTATTATAACTTACTATATTTATCGGTAGCAATATCTGTGAAAATTAGTATTTAAATTATTTTTTTTAATTATTGTATAATTAATTCTATATGAAGTAATAATGAATTATCAATAAAAATTTGAATTAAAATTTGTTTTTCTTACATGTAATTCTTATTGTCTACTTATTAATAAAAAGTTAATAAATATGAAGATTTTTTGAATAAGAAAAAGAAATAGATAAAAGACATTATATTTAGCTTCTTTACTAAAAATAGCCAATTTTTGAAATGATTTTATAATAATTTTAAAATACTACTAAAATACATTTTTTTTTTTTTCCAAAACGTATTTGCAGTTTTATTAAAGTAAAAAATATAGAAAAAATATACAAAGTAAATTCCCTAATAACTACAAACCACTCGTCATACCAATAGTACCTCATGTATGCACTATCAAATGATCATTTGATTCTGTAGATAGACTTCGTTTAGTCAGGTGATCACGGGATCTACACTAAAATACATTTAATACATCAAAATGTTTTTATTAATATACTTTTATTATTATTTTGTAATTGTATAATTTGTATTATATTTAAGTTTATAAAATAATTCAAAATAATAATATTACAATAATTTTTTAATGCTTTTATTATTATTTTATTATTACAATATAATTAACTTTAATATTATATTAATATTTTAAATTTCAAAAATACTTTAAATATATTAATATATTTTAAAATTTTACTTTAAAAGCCATTATATCTAGGTCTATATAAAAATATTTCAAAAAATTGGCAATTTTTAATAAAGTTGTAAGCAGACTTTTCAACTTGAAAAAATAATAACAATAGAAAAATATATAATTAGTAATTATTTATTAAAGATAGACCATTCAATTATAAGGAAATATTTTCTGGAACTAATGTTAAATAGCAAAATAATGATCAAATTATTGAAAAATTTTTATGAAAGTTTAGATTTAAGTAAAAAATAAAAAGAAGACATTAATATAATTTTTATCAAGACATTTATATATTGTGATTTATTTTGGTATTTAGTTGAATATCCATTTATTATTGAATTGTTAAGCAGCTTAGATCAAATTATAATTTACCAAATAGAAAGACTTGCTAATACTATATTAATATAGAAATCTTACAGGTTAATGTAAAGTTATATAAGTTGTTTAAAAAAAAAGTTATTTAATGTTAAATAAGTATATACAAAAGTTATAAAATTAAAATTTTTTAAATTCTATTAAATACTAATTATTTTTTTTTTTCAAATTTTAATTAAATTACAGATAATTGAATTAGTTTATCAGGTAAATTTAAGGTTGCTGGAGAAACTAGGGGGTTTTGGCAAATTAGCAAAATGCCAAAATAGCAAAACTTTGCCAAAACTATATGAAAGTCTTATTAAAAAGTTGGTGAAACTCTGGAGAAAAGTGAAACCTGTTGAAACTTATTATAAATGCCAAAACTGCCAAAACTTTACCAAAACTATAATAAAACTATAGTAAAATCTTGGAAAAACTAATCGTAGAATTTTGGAGAGGTTTAGGCAGGCAACTTTAGGTAAATTTCTTTAGAGCTTTATTATTCATTCTAATAATGAATAGGATATTTTTTGAAAAATTGGTAATTTTTCAGAAGAAAGTCATACTGCTAAGTTTTTTATTTAACAAATACAGTTGATTCTTAAAGAAATTAGCATCCAAAATTTTGCAGATATTATAATAAATATTGGATCAAATGTTTATTTTACATGAAATTTAATTTTTGAAAATATTTGCCTATTTTTAATATTCGATATATAGCAAAAGATTTGATTAAATATACATTTATAAAGAAAATTATTCAATAGTAATAACTAAGTTTTTTTATTATTTACTTTTAATATTAAGTTTAAGTTTAAATTCTATTTTATTTATATAGATTAATGCAAAAAGATTTGTATATTATAAAAAAAGAATAAGGTTTATACCAAAGAAAAATTTTATATAACTAAACATAATAGGCTGAAATTTACATATTTATTAGTAAATAATTATCCAAATTTGCTGCTAAAATTTTTTATTATATGATACTTTTAGTCTAATACAATGCTTTCAACTAGTGTCTCAGTAATTCACTTGTGTAATTTATAACTTTTTTTGTAAAATTAGCCTTTGAAAAATAATTATATGCATTTATTATTATTAGTTTCTTATTGACTGTTAGTGATATACTATTAAAAAAAAGAAATAGTATGATAATAGTATATTTACATTATAATAAAATACTTGGATAGTCTAATCTGATTTCAAGTACAAAAAAACTGGAAATCAATATTATTTTTTAAACAAATTACAAAAACTAGAACTATTAGAACATTAAATTAAACTTGCTATATTATTAGTAGTTTATAGTGCAGTTATAACTTCAGTTATTATGGCCAAAATATTAAATTTAATGTAAAATAATGATTACATAATAGATAAAATGTTGTAACATGAAAAAGGGCTGAAATGTAATTGATAATAGTAATCTATTACAAAAAAATGTATTCATTTTATATATATCAAAAATATTCTGAAAAATATTGAAAAAATTTGAATATATAGTATTAGTATATAATAAATAAATAATAAAAGGATTATTAGATTTGTTAAGTATAAAGAATAAAAAAAAAAGAATTATCTTACAAAAAAAAGAGTTTTATTAGAGATATTATTAGAAAAGTATTATTAATATATAAATAAGTATTTAATTGGTATGCTTATATTTTGTTTTCTCAAAATATAAATTCTTTATTTTACCTTTCAGTTGCTGTATTTGTTAATTCTGATTAGTAATGGTAATTTATTTTTCCAATAAATAAATTAGGTAGCAATTTATTTGCATATATCATTTTGATAATAACAGTTTAAATATAATTAATATTGCAAATTTACCTGGCCATTTATATTTGAAAGGATGGAAAATTTTTGATTTTTTTTACAAAAACAAGTAATTAGTAAAATCCAATAAAGATATTATATTTTATTTATAAAAAATATTTTTATACTTATTATAAAAATTTTAAGTTAATGATAAATTGGGTAATTTTATTAGTAAATTATTGGCTTAATTTAGGTAAAGATCATATTAAATTTTTGAAAATTTGAAACAATTATATTAAAATAAATCTTTGATATTTTAAAAATATTAGTATAATTTAAAGAGAATTTATTAAAATTAGTTTGCTTTTTTTGGAATTCTATATAAAAATTTTAAATAAGAAAAGAGAAGTCTTGGAAACAAATCAGTGACTCAGTGTAAATATATGGTATACAAATATATTTTTCTGTGATGATCTTCCTTTAGAAAAACATAAATTATATGCTTATAATTAGTATCAAATTATTTTGAAATATTTATGAATACAGCCAGAAGTTGGTAAAATATTATTATAGTGATAATGGTCAGAAATATACCAATATACTATACACAATATACTCAATAATAAATGAAAACACATTATGATTTGATGATAATCCTAAATTTATTGTTGTTACGGCCGTATATATAACTCTATAATGTATTCAATATACCCATAATGAACGAAAACACTATGATTTGATGATAATTATTGTTGTTACGGCTGTACAGAAATCTGTTTACACACTATTTTACGAATACATAGATACATAACGAATTATGAAAATCAAATGATAATAACATTTTGACAAAAATGAAAACAACAGCCTTTTTTTTTAAAAAAAAAATACTAATCAGTTATACATATGACGTGCAAGAAGCATCTTGGATTAGTTTTTTATTAAAATTTTTAAATTGTTTTTTTGTCATAATAACTAACATAAATTTTAGAAATTTTACATAACAATTTTAAATGAAGTCTGAGAAGATTTGTTAAACAGAATTAAATTAATGGTATACAAATATACTTTTCTGCAATAAAAAAGATTCGATCCGAGCATAAATTATAAAATAGAATTATATTATAATTAGTATCAAAATACTTATGATCACAGCCAGAAGTTGGTAAAATATTATAATGACAATTTACACATTTTGAAACATAATCATATAACCAAATAATGTATTCAATATACTCCATAATAAACGAAAACACTATGATTTGATGATAAATTATGTTATTACGGCCGTACTGCTTGCTCACTATTTTACGAATATTACAGAGAACACGAATGACGAAAATCAATTGACGATAACATTTGATAAATATGAAAACAAAAGTAAATTGGACGAGAATTACAACCTCTTTTTTTTATAAAAAAATACTAATCAATTATACATATGTCATGTAAGAAATATCTTGGATTAGTTTTTTAAATCATTTTTTTGTCATAAATTAATATAAATTTTTAGGAAGTTTTGGAGGATTTATTAAACAGAATCAAATGTATGGTATACAGATATACTTTTCTGCAATAAAAAAGGGTTCGATTCGAGCATAAATTATATTATAATTAGTGTCGAATCATTTTAAAATATTTATGATCACAGNTTTATATTTATTTTAATAATTATGGCTTAGCGAATAAATTTTTCATGTTCCTTATATTTATTAATAACTGAAATTTTACAATTACCCAAAAAATGTATAGAATATAAGAAATGTTGGTACACATTCACATCATAATAGTTTTCTTGTTCTTAAGCATTGACTTGCATTACCCTAAGCAAAAGTTTATCATTTATTCATCAAGTATGGATTCATTTTCATTTTTTGATAGTTTCAAGCTAATTCATACATTTTGACTAGTATTATTTTCACATATTTCATGTTTACATTAACATATCCCACTAATATTTTATTAATTATTCGTTTTTTTAAGATTTTTTATGCATAAACCAATACATCTGAGAAAGTAGATTATTTTTGGCGAAAAAGATTAAACATTTGAAAAACATGAATGATGATTATGTAATAAATTCCTTCATAATATTTTTCTAAGACGCAACGTTGAATTAAAATGTGTGGCGTAGTACCAGACAATCGGATAAAATTTTCATAAAGCGATAATTACTATAAAAGGCTAAATTAAAATTCATAATATAATAATGACACTTACTATAAAAGGTTAAAATTAAATTCATGTAACAATGATTAGAATTTATTCATTGTTTCCGACTCGTGTAGTACATAAATGAAATTCATTTTAGGATTCATTAAAAAAAAAGCATTTACGTGCTGAAAAAAGCTTTAAAAAGACAATTTTCTCACATCCTATCGCTTATTCTAATAACAAAATGGCTCTTAAAAGAATTAATAAAGTATGTCATAATTCATCTTTCGTAGATGAGCTTTTTTTCAATTGTAACTAATTAATTTATTCCTTTTTTTTCCTTTACATATATATTATTAGGAATTGTATGATTTAGGTATTGACCCACCGTCAACTTTTAGTGCTGGTCCTATCGATGATGATCTTTTCCATTGGCAAGCGTCAATTATAGGTCCTGTAAGTAATATTTTACCACTTTTAAACTACATGTGTAAAGATTATAATAACTTTTACTTGAATGTTACGGTATAATTTTGATTAGAGTTATACTTCATATTCCGGAGGTATATTTCATCTTGATATTCGTTTTCCTAGTGATTATCCATTCAGACCACCAACGGTATACTTTTGCTTGTATATTTGTTTAATAGCATGATTCACGCACTAAATTTTTTATATATACAGGTGAAGTTTACAACAAGAATCTATCATCCGAATATTACTGATAATGGAAGTATAGACGTGGATTTCTTAAGGGACCTATGGTCACCAGCAATTACCATCACTAAGGGTAATAATAATTTATTATGAGTATATTTTTTTTTTTTTAAAAAAAAAAAAAATACTAATCAAATATACAAATGTATTTTTCTGTAATAATAATGATTTCGATCCTCCCTTAGGATAGCATAAATTATATATGTTTATGGTTAGTTGGGGAAATATTATGATGATAATTTTACACATTTTGAAACTTAAAAAATTTTATGGACAGAAATATAACGGCCGTGCAGAAGTCTGTTTGCACACGGAGAGCGCGAATAATGACGATAACATTCGATAAACATGTAAAATTTATAAAAGAATTACAAATTTTAAAAAGAATACTAAACTTTAATCTATTATGCATATGATCAAAAATTAAAGTTTTAAAGGAGGTTTTTTTTTTAAACGTAGAGTAATTAATTTTGCGTCATTTCAAACTTCCTATTAAGTATTGTAATACTCAAATGGTAAGAAAACAATAAACATAACAATTTGTGTAATCTGTCAAGCATATTAAGACAAACCCCAAGAATAAAAAGATCTTTTTTTAAGGTTCGTATCTTTTCTTTACCTAATTTAGAAAAAGAAGAAATAATTATTATTAAACAATATGATTGTAGAGGAACAAATAGAAGTGATAGAATATTGAAAAAAAAAGATTTAAAAGGAAAGAAAATTTTCACCAACGGAATTTGAAACAAAAAGACGAAACCTTTATATGATGTTATTTGATGTACATGAAACAAAAAACCGGTTTTTTGAGTTTTGAATTTTAGCAGATTGGGAAAGATTAAAGTTAAACTTACGTCATGAAACATTACTTTTTTTGTAAAATTAGAATATTGTGGACGGAAATCAAAACTTGTTTTAAAAGAAGTATCTTAGATAGGAAGTTCTGCTAACCATAACAGATAATTTATATAATTTTTATTATACTGTATATTTTTTACTATTTTTTATTATTTTTTTACTAAAAGATTGAAAAAGAAAAAAAGAAAAAGACGAATTTTGACAAAGGTTTTATTAATAAATAAAATGTTTATAAATATTTAATGTATATTTATTTTTAATATATATTTCTTTTTTTAATACATATTTCATATTTCTTTCTTTTTTGGTAATATTTTCTTTATAACCAATTTTAATAATATTTCCAGAATATTACGTAAATTATAAACAATAAAAAGTTTAAACAACGAAGAATAATAATAAAATTAATATTAAAAGTAATAATGGCCCAAAAAAACAAAGGACTTAATTAATGATCAATCAATGGTGGAGGATCAATTATTATTGGTCTTGTAATTAATTAAACTTTTAAGTTAGGAAATTCATGAAATTTATTTTGTATAAAATTGGAAATTGGATAAATTTAAATTTATTATTATCAATATTTCAAAAAAAGAACATCTTCTTTATTTTCTTTTCCTTTATCTAAAAAAGATTATAATTTTATTTCTGCAAGATAAAAATAAATCCTCGTATTATCCGTAAGATTAATTAATGTATTGCCTTTTTATAGTTATAGAAATAATTTATATTGCATGAATAAACAATTTTTTAAAGAAAAAAAAAAGTCGGTTTCTCTCTTTTCCAAAAAAGATCACGTGATTCATGTTGTGTTCACGTTATGTATTTTATTTTTCTTTGTTTGATAATAAATAAAATATATTTTTCTTCTTTGTTTTTCATAGATGTAACAACCAAAAAGCAAGCGGTGATACTTTTTAAAACTGAAAAGTTTTAATTATAATACAAAAATAATTTTTTTATTGTTAAAAAAAAAAAAAAAAATTCTTGATTTCTTGTTATCATTTATTCCGTTAAATTCGTGGCTTTCTCTATGAGGCTTTTTTTAATAAAAAAAAATTTTTTTGAAAGGCTTATAATATAATTTTAGATTAGTTGTTACATGCTTATTTTAAACTATGTCGATACTAACTGTATCAGGTATATATATTATTGTAACATAATTTTATTTATACATATTACATTGTCCTCTAATATTCTAAATATTCTAATATATTTTATTTCCCTTTTGTGGCTATATCTAAACAATCTATTTTATACCGTAATTTTTAAATTGTTTATCCGTTTTTAATTTTCATATATAATATGCGCATTTACTTGCATTTCCCTCTTTTTTATTTTCTTACTCCTTTTTGATTTTTCTTCAAACCTCAAAATATTCTAATTAAAAATTTTTTTACTAACTAAATTTAATATAGATTTTTATTCTCTTTTATATAAATATATTTAAAAAAAAAAAAATATTATGAATAATAATAATTCCCTTCACAGATCTTCTACAAGAAGACGTCCTTCCGTTATTGATATTGTAACGTCAAAATTTAATGAGGAAAAATCTCTGCTGGCAGCGAAAACTCCAAATATAATTTCAAAACGTCGTGGATCGACCGTTTCAATAGATTCTATTCAATCAAATTCTCGTAGAAATTCTATCGTTATGATAGATTCTATTACTACTACAAGTACTACTTCTTCTTCTTCTTCTTCTACCGCTTTATTAAGAGAGATTACTACCACTACCACTACTTTAATATCTGAAATAATTTTATCTCAACCAATGAACACTGATGAATTTATAACAAAATCTTCGGATTTTTCTTCTTCAAAATTACATTTTCCTCCACCTCCTCCACCTCCTCCTTTATCAGAATATGATGAAAATGTTAGGGATGTATTTGATGATTATGATGATGGTGATGATTATATATTTTCTGATGATGATTTAAAAAGTTATAATAAAAAACATGTTAAAACTTTATCTCAACATGCTCAACGTCATCATCTTCATCATCATTCTCGTTCTCTTTCTTCCCCTTCTGTAATCCCTTCTCTTAGTTCTCAACGTCCTTTAATTCCTTCTATAAATTATGATAATCATAATGAATATAAACAACGTACTATAAATTCTTCTATTAAACTTAATAAATTTTTTGGTGATAAACCTCCCTTAGATATTTGTGTTAAAGAAATTGAAAAGGAAGGTTTAAAAGCTATGTTACATTCCAAAATACCTTTATGTTATTTCTTATATTCTTTATTAGAAGAATATTCGTGCGAAAACTTGGTAAGCATTCATGGTTTTTTTTATATAATAGTTTTTTTTACTTTTAATAGTTCTTTACTTTAATAGTTCTTTACTTACCTTACTTACTTACTTTACTTAACTTACTTTTTAGTTCTTCTTTTTGGAGGTGGAACAATATGAATCATTTGTCTTTGTTAATTCAACTCAACAATATACAACTGCTCAACATATATTCGATACTTATTTAACTCATAATTCTCAATTTGAAGTAAATGTTGATGATAAAGTCCGTAAATCTGTTATATCTTCAATTAAAAGTCAACGTGATCCAAAACATTGTTTTGATGAAGCGAAAAGAGCCATTTTCGTTTTATTAGAAGTTAGTTTTGCACGATTTATTAGAAGTCCTATGGCTGATTTAATGAAACAAGAAATAGGTATGTTATTATTTCTCCTTAAAAAAGTTTTTTTTTTTTTTTTAATTATGATAATCACGTGATTTTCGCTCATATCTTAATTTTTTATTTTTTTTTTAGGAGAAACAACAACTCATTATACTAATAAAGCTCGAGATGCAGCAGTAATATTATTATTTCGATATTTAGAAAAGAAAAATGGTTCATTAAATTTAAAACCCATTAAACCATTCATAATCAATACACAATCATCCGTAAACATTAATGATATTGATCTAATATCACCACTTCCATCACCGAGTTTATCAATATCTCGGAAAAGAAATGATTTAATGTGTACAATGATTTATGAATTTTTGAGAACATTATTAGAAATAGATGTTGAAAGTTTTTATTATGAACATTTTAAAAATAATAATAATAATAAGAATAAAAGTAATGATAAAGTTAATGAACCATTTTATAACGGTAATAATCATAATAATAATAGTAATGATAGATTTTATGCTGGTAGTAATGGATCAAGTAGTGGTGGTATTGATGATGAATTTGATATATGGAGTAATGATGATGAATGTATTGAAATGGTAAATACTGGTCATAAAAAAGTTTCCCCGAGGGATCAATTAAAGAAAAAAACATTTAGAAGACCAACGATTAAATCCAGAAGAAAAATCAAAGGGAATTAGTGAAATTATTAGGGAAACTAGGGAAACTAGGGAAACTAGGGAAACTAGGGAATTAGGGAATTTAAAAAAAAAAAAAAATTGTATACTATGTATTACTTGTATATCAAAAATTATTAATTAGAATTTTTTNTGCAGCAATACGCAGCAATACGCAGCAATATGCAGCAATATGCATGATCGTCATATTAAAAATGTTGGCATAATTTTTTTGGATGGAATTTTTTAATGCTCGAGAATCAATAAATATATTTTTGAATACAAAATAAACTACTATACAATGAAATTTTTTATCTATCGTTTTTATTTAGTGTATTTTGTTTGGAGTGAGTGCTAATAAGCCGATGAAAAAAAAAACAAAATAAGAACATTTTTTTTTTTAAAAAAAAAAAATTATTTTTTGTGTATATGTTTCTCAATTTAAGTTGTATAAAAATCAAAGCATTAAAAATCAAGCATTATCAATTATTCTTGTTTTTATATATATATATACAATATATAAATAATATATATGTTTGTACAATTTTATTAATTTTTTTATTTAATTTGTATTCTAATTATTTAGAAAAATCTTTCGTGTCTACGCGAGTACGCGTCTAAAAATGAAAATTATTTTTTTTAAATGTGGTGCAACACATCAATTACATAAATTACATAACAGCTTTTTAACAGCTTTTACTTACCATATTCACGTATGTATTATTGTATTCCAGCCTTACGTATCAAGCCTTTAAACGTATCAGCCTTTAAGACCCTTTACGTATTATATCAGCTTTTTACATACCAGCTTTGTGTCTTTGTTCAATTATAAGAAAAATAATAAGTATAATAGCCGAAGCAACAACAACCCATATACTAGCCATTCTACAACGTTTTCTCCATTTATAATCTTCAGTACCATTAGGTTTATAAAAACTACCAAACCACCAAATAGGTATAAATAAGAAACCAAACCAAAAAAAATATTTTATATACATTTTATTTTCATCATCATCATCATCATCATCATCATCATAATAATTCTTATCATCAAACTTTTTATTATTATTAATATTATTATTATAAATATTTTTTTTAATTTCAACATTATTATTATTAATATTAATTTTCTTTTCTTGCTTTTCTTGAATTATATTAAAATAATTATTAATATCATTTTTATTTTCATAAAAAGATTTTGTTAATGATGGTCTTTGAATATTTGAATAACGTCTTGGAGGAGTATAATTAGCAGAATTACGAGAATTACGACGTGAATTATTATTATTACGAGTGGATGTAGGAGAAGTATTATCAGCATAAAGTACCGAATTACGATGATGATGAGATAATGGATTATGACTTATTGAATTATATAATAATGATTGTGATGATGTAGGTCTTGAATTATTTGTAGTAAATTCAAATTGAGTATTAATACGAAGTGGATGTTCCGGTTTAATTTCTTGTAATACTTCATAAACACTTGAAATTCCTTTATTATCATTATTATTATTATTTGATCTTGTCATAGCTTTTAATGGTCTTATAGGTGATGATAAAGGTTCATTTTCATTATTACTACTACTAAATGAGCCATTAGTAGGAGTTTGTACTAATTCAGCTGAATAAGGTGAACTTGAAGTAGAATTAGATGAAGTGGATGATATTTGTAAATTTTCTTCAAATGATTGAATCGATGATTCTTCTTCTTCTTGAGATGATTGAGTTGATTCTTGTTTTGAATGAATTTGATGTATTATAGGTTGATTTATTATAGGTTGATTTATTATAGGTTGATGTATTATAGGTTGATGTATTATAGGTACGTCAATATCAATGTTAATGTTAACCTCAACGTTTTCGTTAATGTTCTCATTTTCTTGAGCATTATCATCTTTATGATAATAATTCACATTATAATCCTTCTCATTATCGTATTTTAAATTATCCTTCTCGCCATAAATTTCCCCTCCTCCTTTTGTTAACCATTCAACCACTTTTTTTGAACCATAAGATTTGGTGTGTTTCTTGTGTTTCTCTAAATGATTTTTTACATTTGTTGTTGTTATTGTGTTTGTTGATGTTGATGTTGATGCCTCTGTCGGTATCATTATCAACACATACTAAAAAACTTCTTTTAAATGAAAAAAAAAAAAAAAAAAAAAAATAAATAAATATTTTTATAAATTTATAAAAAAAACGCGTTTATTTTATTTTTATTTTTAAATGATTAAATTGTTTTTAGAAAAATTACTTAATATGGCTCATTCATTGTTTTACCTGATAAAGGATAATTTAAAATATTTTATTTTTTATGATTGAACTAAAAAAAATCGTTTTTTTTTTTTGACACAAAATCGATTCATTTCTTTATTTAACTAAAAGTACTTTTGATGATTTACAGATTATCACATATTATTATTATAATTTATCAAATATTACAAAATATAATAAAAATCATAATTAATTAATTAATTAATTAATTACAAGTTTATTATTTATTATTTTAAAATGGTTCTTTAAAAGCTTTTTATGAAAAGAATTAAAAATCAAATCAGTCACCTTATTATTACTGCGAGAGGGAGATCTACTTCATACATACATTAAAATTATTTCGGAAAAATTATACTGAAAGTTAATCCCGTATTTTGTACCTCCAGGTATTATTAATAATGTATAAAATTTGATTTGCCAAAAATAAATGAATCATTTACATCATTATACGCAGTATGACGGTAAATACGCGATTGCCAAGAATAAATGCAAGTAATGTAGTATGTAATATATATTTTAATTTGTCACGGCATATGACAATCATTTTACTATGATGTCTATTAATAAATTTACTCCACGGTGTTTATTACTATAATGACTAAACTTATTATGAGATATGAGGTTCCGATCAGCTCCTTCAAATATTTCAAATATTAGATGCCAAGAATCAGGGAAATGACAAATTTGGTAATTATACTCCATTACCCGATCCAATAAGGATGTTGGACAAAATAATGAAATATTACAATAAATTCTATTGTGATTATTTGATTATTTCTGACAATCGGACTATCAAATTACTCAAAATTTCAAATTTTCCCAGTGATTAAACCTTAGATATGTAAATGTCATTTTTTTGTTGGATGTTGATTATCTTTTAGATACCATAAAAAAGTTTTTTTTTTTTTTTGTATCATTTTACTACATTACTATATTTTGACACTGTTTCTGTACTTCCGATAATAAGAAAATTTGATAATGATGGGATGATGGATGATGATGATCACTGGGAAAATTTGGACCCTTACAGCTAGTTAATCAACTAACCATTTTCATTTTTTTTATATGAATTTTCCATATTTAATATTTTTCATATTTATAATGAAAAAAAAAATAATTTTTTTTGAAATAAAAAAAAACCATTTGTTAAAAATATTGTTTTAAGGAGGTAGGGTAAAACGATGAATAGAAATATAAAAAATGCAACTATATAAACCATATAATAATAATAAACGTTATCTTATCGCAAGGAAATTAAAAAAGAAAGTTTAAAAAATTTAATCTTATTTCTTACGTAACAAAAAGTTACGCCATTTACTTTTAATATTTTTAATATTTCTTTTTTTAAAAAAAAAAACGAAAAAAAACTATGAAAAAAAAAAACTGATAAGTTAAAAATAAATAAATAAAATAAATAAAAAATAAATAAAATCATAAATAAATAAAGATATACATGTAAATATAAGCCTCATTGGATTTTCTATCGTGATAGAATCATATTCGTTTGATTTTATTTTTTTTTTTGATAAAAAAGAAATTTCTAAAAAAACCTTTTGTTTAGTTTTTTTTATAAAATAATAAGCCACGAGAAAAAATAAAAAAAAAAAACATTCAATTAAAAAAAATTATTCCTTTAAAAAGTCATATATTATATCTCAAATGATTCCTTTAAAAAGTCATATATAGCTCAAATTATTCCTTTAAAAAGTCATTTATAACTCAAAAAAAAATCTTTTTTAATTTTAGAACTCTTTTTTTTTTTTCGAGACACATTATCGGAATAAATAAACAATGAAATGGCCTGATTTGGTAAATTTTCATTTTTTTATTTATTTATTTTTTTATTTTTAAATAGAGTTTTGATTGATGTGTAATATATCATGAAGTGTATATACCATGACATTGACCTGATAAATCGCATATATGGCGTATATGGCATATACAGTATGTATACAAGTAAAAGGTTCAATTAAATCACGAGAGTTTTCCGAAGCTTTTGTTAAAAAAAGTTTTTAAGGAACACGATGCTGTTTTTGATTCTTTTCTTTCGCGAATTCTATTGGCCTTTCTTTGTTACTTCGCCACACAAGAACTACTTTTAAAAAAAAAAAGCAATGAGCAAGCCTCGTTAATTCCTTTATTTTTAAGAGAAACAAGCCTCAAAATAAAACACATTAGTTTTAAAAAAACACACTTTTTATAATGACTTGTATAATAGAGCCACGTTTTAACATTAACTAAGCCATTTATAAAATGAAACGTAATCGAAGTTGAAACGTAATCGAAGATTATTATTATTATTATTTAAGGGAGAAAGAAAAACAAGTTAAGGAAAAGACTTTTTCAAGAATTTTTTTCATATATAAAAGAGAATTTGTTTTTTATTTAAAGAAAAAAAAAAAAAATTTCTTTTCATCACCTCATCACTTGTAGATACTTTTTTTCAAAGTGGCGTCAAATCGTGATTATATCGAATATAATAAACTCTATGAAGAAAAAAGTGTTATACAAGAGGAGATTGTAAGAGATCATTCAATTTCTTTAACAACATGCCTTTTTACAAAAAATGAAGTTAAAAAATTTCTTTTCCTTTAGAATGATGATTCGAAAAAAGATTCAGTTAGTACGTTTAATGGCGATTATGAATTACATTTAGATGATGAACCTACGTCACCAACTTTCATTGAGAATGATCCAAAAAATTGGACAGATTTTAAGAAAAATGCTATTCTTACTATAGTAACTATAGCTGCAATGCTTTCTCCAATTGCAAACACGTAAATATTTCGTCTTGTTCACGTGAAACACGTGAAACGCTATAATAAACTGACTGATATTTTCAAAAAAAATGTAATAGAATATTTTTTCCCGCAATATTAACAGTACGTGAAGAATTGCAAACAACTGAAACAGTTATAAATGCAGTAGGTAAGTAATTAAAATATTTAATTATTAAGATATATATATATATATATTTTTAATATTCGATCTTTTCTAGTTGCCATATTCGTATATCTTATGGGAATTTCTGTAAGAAATTTAATTTTTTTTTTTATTTCTCTAATTTAATCCAACATTTATAATATATCAATTGGGGTTGGAAGGTTGGAATTGGAAGAATTGGATGTGAGGAGGTTGTTGGAATTAGAAGAATTGTAAGTTTTCAATAGTTTCCCAATCACTAATATACGTATCATTTTATTGTGATATATATTTATATTATAATTTTCTTAATTGAAGTCCCAATAGTTTCCAATCTTCCAATCTTCCAATCTTCCAATCATCCAATTCTCCAATTCTCCAATCTTTCATAAAATTATCTCATATAATCATCTCTTTTTAGCCATTGTTTTGGGCATCATATTCAGATTTAAGAGAAACAAGAAGAAAAGTTTATTTATTAGCTAGTGCTATGTTTATAATAGCAGCATTTTTATGCATTTCGGTGACTAATATTTGGTGGTTAATGATCCTTCGTGCATTACAAGCAACTGGTTCTTCAGCTGTATTATGTATTGGTGCAGGAACTCTTAGCGATATTTACGTCCCAACAGGTATAATTCTCGTCAAAATACTTTGTCAAATTTTTATAAAATTCACATTAATTAAATTCTCTTTACAGAACTTGGTACTGCATATGGATTATTTTATTTTGGATTTTTCGTAGGACCTTTAATTGGACCATTGATAGGAGGATATTTAACACAATATGTTCATTGGAGGGCAATATTTTGGTTTTTAACAATATATGGAAGTACATTATTTTTGGTAATTTATTTATTTTTACCAGAAACTTCAAGACCAAAACAAACATCAAAAATTCCATTATCAAAATTACGATCAGAAGAAATTTCATTATCTTTACAAAAATCTTTTAATCCATTATCACCTATATCATTATTAAAATATCCAAATCTTACATTAATAATTTTATATAAAATTTGGGTAACATCAACAATTTATGTACAAAATATTCTTATACCAGAAAGATTTGCTATAACTTATGGATTATCAGCATCACAAATTGGTTTAGTATTTTTAGCACCAGGTTTAGGATTAATGAGTGGTAGTTTAGTTGGTGGTAAATTATCAGATTATGTATTAAGTAAAAGAATGAAAAAAATTGGTGGTAATTATTTACCTGAATTAAGATTATATAGTGCTTGGTTTGGTAGTATATTAATTCCATTAGCATATTTTAGTTTTGGTTGGTTACTTGAAAATGGCGTATCTATTTTTTATCCTTTATTTACAATGTTTTTAGGTGGGTTTGGTACTTTAATGGCTTTTAATCCTACTTCTACTTATTTAGTTGAATCTTATCCAACAAGAAGTGCTTCAATTGTAGCATTAAATAATTTTATGAGAGCTTTAGTAGCTGGTAGTATGTCTGCTCTCGCTGCTCCTTTAAGTGATGCTGTAGGTACCGGTTGGACTTTTACTTTAATGGCTAGTGGAAATGTTCTTACTATAACTTTTTTAATAATCGTTTATAATTATGGTAGAAAATGGAGAGAAAAAATACGTAAAGAGAATCCTAGATAAATAATTATAGCTATCTTAGGTTAGGTTATCAATTTATTATTAGATTTTATATAAATTAAAAATAAAAATATTGTAAAAAAAGCTTTTTTTTGATGTTTCAAATTATCAAATTTTTGAATGAAAAATTCTCAAATTTTCTTCCCTGTAAAAAAAGTCAATCCGTTTTTTTTATTCCAACTTTTTCCGTAAAAGGCTCATATTTCCGGAATCAATAACTTTATATCAGAATTATTTACATTTTCCGTGAATGGATCCGTAAAAGGCTCATTTTTACAGAAATAACGGATAAAATTTTTTATAGGGCTTTTGTACCTCTGAAATCCAGAACACTTATGTATAAAGTATGATTTATGCCTACAGATAAGAACTATCTCGTCATATGGATCTATCACGATTTGAGGTTGGCTCATTCCTTTTTCAATTAGAGGTTTCAAAAGAAATATAGACTTTTTTTCTGATTTTGAGCATTTCGCATTTTTTCAGATGATAAGCCTGTCTATCCTTTCTATTTGGTCTATCTGGTCTAGCACACGCGTCTCATCACCAATCAAGCATGTGTAACAATTTCATTTTGGAAGTTCCGACAACTTTTTTAATGGTTAAATAACGGGGTTTTTACTGTTTTTTTAATAGTTTTTTTTTTACATATTTCCCATTTTAATTTAATATTAATAATTTTTAATAAAAAAAATAAAATATAATTTTAGTTAAAAGCATTTGAATATACAGTAATTAAATTATTTTACATTCATATAAAAAATTGACTTTTTATTTTTATCTAAAGTATTAATTAGAATTATTATTGGATGATTAAGCTAAATAATAGTCTGATAGCGGCCGCATTAGTTTATTATATAGTTTAAATCATCCAATAATAATATTATCGGTTTGACGGGACCGTTCACGCAATTTTAGTTATAATAAACTCCCGTTACTATCCAATAATTTTATTACATAGTAATATGAGATAACCGACCTAAATAACAATTATGTAAAATCTGCATGAACTTATGAGGATAACTGATAATAAATATTATAGATACTGTATTATCTATCTATCATGCATAAGTCATCGTAAAATATTAATTTTTTTATACAAGTATAAAGAATACTTTCTATTGATTTGTTCCCCTCTTAACTTTTCCCTACGCTCTACTAACAATTGATAAATCACCCGTTTTTGTCATCACAAATTATATAATTCACTTCAAAAATTTTAAAAATTTTGAAGATTTAAAAATATTTATTTTTTATTAAACAAGTTTTTTTTTTCTATATTTACATTAACATATTGAATTAATTAAATTTGACCTTATTATATAATTTTAAAAGGTTATATGATCTAATTCTATAAAAAAAAAATTTATCCCATTATGTAAATTAAATAACAAAGTTTCTGAGTTAGATTTAGATTGTTCTAAAATAACAATACATATTTTATACAAATAGAAGGATAAGGTTTTAGAATATATTGAATATTAATAGTATAATGATACTGGAAATTCAAATAAGTGTTAATTAAGAAAAAAATACCACCTTTAAACAAAAACATATATGAAGAAGTACCCACCCTTCTTTTCTTAATTGTCATATTCTATAACCACTTCACCACCTCTGCTTACACTTTCAAATACGATCAAAGCTCTTCTAAGTCCTTCATTCGACACTCTTGTCCTTCTGGCTAAAATTAATTTTTTTAGAGTTCCTATTACTTCCGCATACTGTGTAATCAAACAAAGGTATTCATCATCAATACAACTACTCCTAGGAAATTGTAATACTTCTAATGGAGCTTTACAATTTCCAAGTAACCAGTGTATTACCATTAACCAAAATGTTCCTTCAATAACAACCATCAAATTCTTTAGTTTTGGTGGAAATGCTCGAGAAACACGTTTCCAAAACTGTTCATCATCCATCAATTCTGTTCCTACTGAAATATGAAGTTGTTGAAGAAGTTGACAATTATTTAAAAGTATAAGTAATTGAGGGAAAATTTCTCTACTTGTATGAGTTTCTAATTTAACTAAATATGGGCATGTTATAGAAAGTGTAGAGAGAATGGATGATGGTGGGAAATCTCCCACTCCTCTGGATATTAATCCTAGAGGTCTTCTCACATTCCATACTTTTCTTCCTAATCTGATATCCTTTAATGAACCACATGTATTTTGTATCATTCTCGCCAAAGGATGATCAGAAGTGGTGGAAGAAGATGATGATGAAGATGAAGAAGAAGATGATGGTGGTGAATATGTTGATGTTGATGTCAATAATGCCGATGATATAGGAGGAATTCCTCTTAAAACAGGTCCTATTACATTTACATTACCCTGAATATGATTTCCCGTAATGGGTACAACTGATGGGGGAGCAAGTATTGTTCTTAAATCTCTAAATCCAACACTTTTCCTAAACACAAATTTTTTTAATTTTTTAAAGGTCGCAAAAGCTAAAGGTTCAACAATATCATCATTTAATCCTAAGCACCTCTCGAATACTAAAGTTTGCAAGTTTACACAAATAACTAAAGGTGTTAAACTAACACTTATTCTAAAATCAGCTCCAATAAATTCTAAATGATTTAATGAACTAGCTTGAGTACTTAATCCTCCAATTAAAATAGGTAAACAATTTGATCCACCCCTTCTCAAGATTACACGATGCAATGCATGTTGAGCTGTTAAAAGGCTTAACATCATTTGAGGATCTGCGTGCCTCCTTTGCCATGATGAAAAACTTATTTCCAAAGTGTTTAAATTTTGAGATACTTCAGAGAGAACTTGCATGATTTTTCCATCCGTCGCATCTCCCCCATATTCAAATTTTTGTAAATGTACCAAACAATTATTTGCTCCAGGATAATTCGGAATTTGTAATAAATCATCAAAACCATAAGCGCTACGAAATTCCTCAAAACTTGTTGGTGTATATTGAATATCTCCAGGATGATGTGACCAAAATCTCCTATCAATCAATCCGATTAATCTTTGCGTATTCAACGAAAGAGATTCGAGTATTCGAGTTTTCGAAAATAAAAGTTTAACGAGTTCGTTGACAATTAACTTTACGATCCGTAGATCGTCGAACATTACAAGGTCATGTCTGATTTGTCGTCCTTTTTCGTATTCTTCTTGTAACCAAGCTGAAGTTGATTCGTATAAATCATCAAATCTAAAATCGCGGATAAAAGATGGATAATCAAAAATTTTAGTTGTATCATTAAGTGGAATATTAACCCCTTCGGATAATAGATAATTTTTAACTATCGGAGAAAAAAATGAAATGTAAATTTCGATGATGTCCGAACAAGGTTTTTTAGCTAATTGGAAAGGTCGTTTCCATAAGAATCTTATTACACTAATACACCAAGATCTGTTTACTAAAAGACAGGAATGTAATGTAGATTTTTCATATTCTAAAATGTGAAATATTTCTTCCAAGCATTCTCTTGGTAAACGATTTGCCATAATGAGAGAATTTTTTTTTTTTTTTTTTTTTNTTAGTCACGTAACTGTTAGTTATAGGATTATGCTGTTAAGATGGGTTCGGTACATTTTTTATTGTAAAATTCGTTAAACCTGAATAAAAAAAAAATAAAAAAAAAATACAATAAATAAAATAAATTAAAATTAACAATCAATTACATCATAATAAAGTAAAATTTATGGTATAATTTTTTTTTAAGAAAATTATAACGTAGTTTGGCTAGTTTCTTGAATTAGTAAATTTGAATAAATTTTTTTATATTGATACCTGAAATTTTAAATCAATGTGATAATAAATAAATAAATATATAAAGGTATTTATTTGTTTTATATTAATTTAATTAATATGGACAAATTAATTTAATTATTGGTATTAAATAAAGTAGTAAAATGCCGAATTTTAATTAATTATCTGCAAAAGTAATTTGTTTTTAAAAAGGGGAATTATTAAATGTAATAAAAAAAGAAAAACAATAATAATTCCCGAAATAGTTTTGAAAAAATAAAAAGAGAAAGTTTTGAAGAATAAGAAAAAGCAGTTTTTTTTTTTCCTTAAATAAGGGGGATAATCCAATTTTTTTTTAAAAAAATAGTTCCCTTTATGAGATACAAAAAGATATCATTCAGCCTAAACAGCCACTTGCGTAGCTTGTACAATATTAAGATGAAAATCAGAGGATCGATTGGATATTCCTTACTAGCGTAGTCTATAAACGGCTATAATTACTGACAAGGCGGGTCGATTCTTTCCATTGCTGCGGTATTTACTTTTGTTTTTGTATCGAAAGAAGGATATGAGATAATATTGATCTACTGTAGATCCAAAAGCTATTGTTTTTTGAACTTTGATAAAATTGTTGTGACTAGTGTTTAGGGAATATAATATTACTTTTTTTTTTGATGATCATCGAAAGAAGTTACAAATGATTAAATGATTTTATTACGGAAAAAAATGCTCGATTAAGTTAAGCACGAAAAATTAACATGGACAATCATGATGTAATATTAAAAATCGGAAATTACTTAGGTTTTTAAAACTTTTTTTTTTCGTGAAAATTGACACGAGAATGTTGATTCGAAAAAATAATTATGTTTGTCGGTCATTCGGACACTTTAATTGGTGCGTGCAAAATGCAAACTTGTACACCTGAATACAAAAGACAGATCGCGATGATATGACTTTGCAGCTAAAAATATTACCACAAACCACCACATACATAATATTAATTAAGACCGCGCAGATTTCGCGCGGGTGATGTAATTTACTTTTTCTACCCCGTTTTTTTAGGTTATCCGAAATATTTTGAAAAAAGATTCAAAGATACAATAAAAAAGATTCAAAATTCAATGGCTTTATTTAAAATTTATCTTATTATGATGGAATAATAAAATGTGAACAAGCCAATTATCGCGCGTCTTGCATAACGCAGTAATGTTTTATTCTATAATTCTACTTTCACCAATGATGATTATATGCCACATGATCTTTCACGTGTCAATTCTCATCAAACTTCGAGCGGAACATAATTTCGTATCAAGAACTCTTTGAAAAGATATTATTCGAACCGGTTATTTAAAAAAAAGCATTATGAATATTTAACGTTTGAAATCTAATTATACTTACTGTATTTAAATTGACATATACATATACTTGACATGACTCTTTCACAGATATGCCTTTAAAGGAAGTTTGTAAATTTATGAATGGGAGATAAATAATTACATAAAATCAACGATAATGACTTGCATTACATATATTATATAATTGATATGTTGCAGAAGTAATAACATTTGATTTTGAACAATGAAATTTATGGTTCATATTATTACAATTTATCTTTTTTTTTCGATTTATTTGGTCTTAAATAAATAAATAAATAAAAAAATAAAAAAAAAAAAAATACAGTTCGCCTCAATGTTCGTAATGTTTTCATTTAATCTTTATCTTAAGAAATTCTTAAATAAAACATGTTTGATAAATAAATAAATATATTATATATATATATGTCTCTTTTTTACGAAATAAGAGACATATATACATATATATGTCTCTTTTTTACGAAATAAGAGACATATATACATATATATATACGCATACTATACACATACACACACATATATATATACATATGTAATAAATAAATAAGTAAATGAATGAATGAGTGAAGAATGAAATGAACGAAAAAACTTTTCTAAAAAATATAAGCTTTTAGATACATATATATATATATATATATTCATTTACCAATTAAAATCATAATTATTAATTTTGAAATCATATTCCTTAATAACATTTAAGTATGAATGCTGTGAATTCTGAAAACCCAGTTCCAGATCTTCATTTACACCTTTTACCTTTTCCAAAAAACCTTTTAATCCTTTAACATTAAATGGTAATTTTTTCTTATTTCTAATTTCAATCCATTGTAATTCTTTAGGAATATTTTCACCCAATTCTTCCATATGTTCATCCCAATTTGATTGTTCATTAAATGTGACACTTAACTTTTGTAAATGAACAAGAGATTTAAAAATTAAAAGTAATTCATTAGGAAATATAGTTTCAAGATACAAATTTTCAACTTGAGTACAATGATTTGTTAAAATTTGAATTCTCTTAAAACTTTCTTCCATATTATATGAAGAATTTGTTGAAATTGGATTAAGTGCATTACTAAATAATAATTGTGAAGGTGAATTAATTTGAGGAAGTGAATTTGATTTCCAACCCAAATAAATATTTTTTAAATTAATATTTGAAATTTGAAAAAATTCTGTAATAAAATTTAAATCTTGTTCATAACAAATAACTTTTAAATTGTTTAATTTTGTTAAAGAATGTTGTAAAGGGGTTAAAGAATTAATTGATACACAATTATTTAATTCAAGTGTATGTAATCTATTGCATTTTTTGATCATATAATCTAAAGTATGTTTTTGAATATTATTTAAATTTGTTTTTGTAAGTTTAAGTCGATTTAAAGAAGGTGGAAGATTATTTTTCTTCTTATTAATTGATGATGTTGATGATTTTTTTGATTGATATAATTTTTGTAAATGTGGAGGTAACTGAATTTGATTATATTGATCATCAAAAAGTGATTGAAAAATTTGTTCATAAGTTGTAAAATTATAAAAATTTGAATAATTTAATTCTATACATGTTAAATAATTTTGAGATGAAACAAGGGATGCCATAACTTTACCCAATTTTAAAGAAATAATATCATAAATTTTAATAGAATTTATAAATTTACAATTCTTTGTCATAATTGTAAGAAGATCATAAGTAGGTTTATCATCACTTAACGAACCACATGAAAATTCTTTTAATGTATAAAATAATGGATTAGAAGAATTTGATGAAGAAGAGGAGGAGGAAGTAGAAGAAGAAAAAGATGATGAGGAAGAAGAAGAAGATGATGATAATAATAATAAATTATTATTATTATATAATGAAGAAGAACGATTATTTTGTTGTGATGATGATAAAATCTTAAGAAAATTTGATAAAAAATCACATTTATAAAGTTCTAAGGAATGTAATTTGGTACAACCTCTCAACAAAACTTTTGATAATTCTTGTTCAACTGATTGTTTTTGTAATTCGAAAATCCATTTATCATTAGCCGACATAGTCTGAATCTTTTGTTGTAATTCAGTTTTTGATGAAATTTTGATATTTTTTAATCTAAAGATTAATGGAACCAAATCAAATGTATTTTGATCTATAGTTAAACTTTGTAAATAAGAAATATAATCGAATAAAGGTTTACGAGGAAATTCCGACATATTAATCCCAACATTTATTAACTTTTTTCTAGAATCTTCTGAAATACATGATAGATAGGTTCTAGTTATCATATTACACCGTTCTTTAGATGTACCAGCTATATTAAACGGATATTTCCATAGATAGGGGATAACCACTGTACACCAAAACCTATTTACCATTAAACAGGAATATAAATCCTTTGTTTCGGAAAGATTTGAAAGAATATTTTCTAAACATTCTGGTAATAATTGTTGTGAATATTGTTGTGACATAGGTAAAGTTGGTTGTTTCACCTCAATGTGAATAATTTTAGTATGATGAATTCAAAGTGGATGCTTTTAGAAAAAATTTAAGAAGTTTTTTTTTTAAAAAATTTTTTTGAAGAAAAAAAAAAAAAAAATAAAGATAATACAACCTACAATGGGTCCTTTTTTGATATTCCTACTTACTAATTTTGGTTTGTGGCGTACAATCAATTATGTAAGAACGAACAGAAATAATGAACTACTTGGGTCCTACGAAATCACGGAGAAAGATGAGTGGTCGGCTATTTATATATATATATATATTTTTTTGCTGCGGTATAACAATATTCATTTTAGGTAAAAAAGAAAGAGAAGAGAACTTCAAAAAAAAAAAAAGAAATAGAAAAAAAGCAAAAGAAGCTGAAACTTAAAAATCGGCAATCAAACTTATAAACAATTAAGCATGTAACATATATAAACTTTCATGTATAATATTATATAAAAATGTATTTTTGCATGAAAAATGATGAAAATGTCAATTGAATTCTCTCTTTTATAGCATTAGATTTACAAAATTCCCAAAAAAGTAATGAGCCGCAGTAAGATCACGTGGAGTGATTCGATCGCCGTAAATTCCGTGGATCTCATGTGACATTGTGACAGCTACAGGTTACAGAAACAACAAAGAACCATAGCAAACAGGTTTTTTTCATTTTTGGTCGTTATTGTTTTTTTATTGTTTACCGGCGAATATTTTCTTTAATAAAAAAAAGCGGCAAGTTGTCGCTCAACTAGATGCTTTGCATTATCTGTTATCTTATCTCTTTTTTTATCAGATATTACTTTATTAGTTAATCATAAATCATGAGAATATTTTATTAAAATCATTAAATTAAAATTAATAATAATTATTATTAATTATGAATCAATAAATTACCGATATTATTAATAAAGATTCATTGAGAAAAAAAAAGAAACTCCTATATGCAAAATATGCAAAGGCGTTGCGGTTAATCAATCAACCCTATATATATCCAAATAATTTATTTTCTTTAAAAGTAAAAGTGAACAACCAATTATTTCAAACCCTGTACGCAGCAATAACGTGAATAACGTGGGCGGAAAAAGGTAGTAAAAAACTAATTTAATTTCTTCCCTTTTATATTTCAAACAAAATCGAACACAAACAGATTTACAACAATTAAAAATCACCCGGAATATCAAAATTGGAAACTTTTACTTAGGTAAGTTAATAATAATAAAATAAACCGGTTATATTTGTTTATATGTATAAGCGGTTCGCTCCTGTTGTACAAGATTCCCATATCATTCATTCTAACTATGACGAGATGTCAATTTTCCAAGATGGACTTCTTAGATTTCCTCCCATGAATCTTTATATTCATTTTGATAAGAGGTGTCACATTTTTTTTTTAATTAAAGTTATCGCGTGTCTTAAACATGATGATTATCAATTAATGAATTGCCAATTATTTTGTTAATATCACGTCACAGAAACGTACAAATAATAAACAATCCAACGTTGTAGCATGATTTTATCGATTTAAGCCCACTTTTAAAACAAAGAATGCTCATTCCTCATTTAGTATATCTAATGTTTTATTCGATTGGTTTAGATAAGGTAAAATAAATATTTATTTAGAGTCAACCATAGTAATTTCCGATGTTTCATATTTAATGCGAGGAATATCCCCTAAATATTTTTTCATTCCTGAACTTTCATGAAATTTTAAAAAATTTTTTTTTATTCTTCAAGTTTCAGGTTTATTATAATTTCAATTCATTACTGTATAATATATTTATTATATATTATATGTATATCACGCGGTGATACAAAATTGATTAACCCTACTTATTCCTTAGTGTTTCATTTTTTTCTCCATTTATTTCCTTTTAATTCTTCCTTCCCCTTCCCCTTCATGTATTTAAACTTTTTGTTTTCATTCATATCATAACAATTTTCTAATTCCCCGTTTTCCCTTCCTTTTTTTTCCTTTGCCCTTTTCTCCTTTGATAGGTTACACTTTATCACGGGTATCTCCGTATTCTTATCTTAACGAAATCCATCAATTATTAATTATAAATTCTTTGAATTTTTGATAAATTCAAAAAACCCTTTTTTTTTATACTTAATATATTTGTTATCGTAAATATGGCAAGGCTATTTGGTAGTATTAAGATAAAATATAAATCCCATAATTGTAAAGATTGTAGGAGTAGAAGGAAGAATAATAAAATAAACCCTACGGCAAATTATGTTTGGTGTGATGTTTGCTCTCCTATTCACCTTCAAAGAGAGTTTTCCTCTTGGTCAAGTGGTAATAAGGAAGTGGATGAATTTATAAAGTTTCAACAACTTAAGACAAAAAAATCTGGTGATTTAATAGAATGGATACCTTATGATAGATTATCAAATATTAAATACGTAGCAGAAGGAGGCTTCTCCAAAGTTTATTCAGCTTCATGGTTGGATGGTTTAATTCAAGGATGGAACTTTGAACAAAAACAATGGAAAAGACTTGGCAAGACTGAAGTTGCCTTAAAAGTTCTTCAAGATTCACAAAATATTTCATCAGAGTTCTTGGAAGAGGTAAATTAATTTAATTATTTAAACTATTAACCTATTAAACTGTTATATTGAATCGTACTTAAAAAATTTATTTTCTTTTTTTTTTTTTACTTTTTTTTGATTAATAGTTACATTTGAATTTACAACGTGGTTCCACATACGTTGCAAAATGTTTTGGTTTCACCAAAGAACCAAAATCAAATAATTACGTCATGGTTCTCGAATATGCAGAAAATGGAAATTTAAGAAATTTTTTGACTAAGTCAGAATCCATTGATTGGTATCAAAAGGTTGAAATTTTAAAACAAATTGGACATCATCTTTGTAGACTTCATGAAAAAGAGATCATTCATAAAGATTTCCATATTGGGAACATATTATATGAAACCAATCATCGTATTGATGATTTTTTAATTATAAGCGATTTAGGTGTTTGTCAACCTATTAGCAAGAGGCCTTGTTTTGTTATGCAATCATCAGAAATCTACGGAGTGTTACCTTATATGGCACCAGAAGTTCTGAAAGATCATTCATATAGTAAAGCTTCTAATATTTATGCTTTTGGTGGAATTATCTATGAAATTGTAACTGGATATCCTCCTTTTTATAATAGACCTCATGATTTTCAACTTGCTTTAGATATTTGTAAAGGTGTTCATCCTGATATTCCTGAACACGTTCCTAAATCTATCGCTAATTTGATTTTAAGATGCTGGGAACCAAATCCTAAAAAAAGAATTACTGCAATAGAAATTTTTAGTATGATCAGATGTTGTTTTATTTATGAAGATGAAAATAAATTATCTCCTAGGTTAACGAAAGAAATAGAGGAATTTAAATCTGCTCATCAAGTATATCAAGCAGAGCAAATAAAAATTCATCCTGAGGCTGTTTACATTAGTAGACTTCTTTCTTTCCCTAAGCTTGAAGAATCTTTGAAGAATTAATTTGTTAATTTAAATTCATTCATTTATACTTTTAAAAAAATTCTTTAAAATATCATATATATTTAATTTGTCAAGGGCAAAAATGACAGATATGATACAAGTGTATATTATACTTATTGTTTTATTATAGACCGTTACCTAGTTGTTTATAATTTTTATGATTTAATGATGTATTTAAAAAAAAGTGATTGTAATAAAGGCATTTAAATTGTACAGCTTCATAGCACAATCGATTCTAAATTTCTTTTATTTATTTTTTTTTTTATTTGCAATATTTGAGATTTAGGATAAAAGTCCTTAAACTCATTTCATGTGTAATGAAAAATAACAATTTTATGCAGGTAATATTTTGACGATATATGTTTGCCATATCTAAATTAGGAATTTGTCACAAATAGGGATGTTAACAGTTTATGATTGGATGGTTCGAACCGCAGTTTGATCATAGGACCGGTTTCAGTTCAGTTCAAACGTCAAACCAAACCGAGACTGAACCGATAGAAACCGGTTTAGTGAACCGGTTTTAGATCGGTTCAATTAACGGTTACGTGTATCTGCATGCGTAACTTTTTACAATAAAAGAATAACGGATTTTACATTCTTACATTTTTTTATATCACCTTGCATTATTACAACTATGTCTGGAGTTTTTGAAAATGACGATAATAATTTATCAGATGATTCCTTAGCATCTGATGATGAAAGAATTATAAATAAGAAATTGTCAGCAGATGTTTGGGAGTTTTTTCAAAAAATTCAAGATGAGTAAAGTTGGTTAATTACAAACTATAAGTGTATTTTGTGTGCAAAACTTTATTCACCTGGTAATCCAACATCTACACTTTGACGTCATTTAACTAAAAAACATCCATCACATTATAAAAAACCTGAAACCCGCCAAACTACTTTACGTTTTAAACCTTACTCTCCATCAAAATCTAAACCTATTACAGATTCTTTGGTTGATTTTGTTGCAACTGATTTGCAACCTTTTACCATTGTTGAAAATCCTGAATTCAAATTATTAATTAATAAATTGAATCCCCACTATATTTTACCTTGCAGACAAATCTTAAAGGAAAAATTCATAGAAAATTATAAAATGAGAAAAAATGTGTTAATTAATGAAGTCTCACAAATTAACTCAAAAATCTCTCTTACTACTGATATTTGTACTTCAGAAATCTCAAAAGATTGTTATCTTGGAGTAACAATGCATTATATTAACAACAATTGGGAATTAAAAAATCTCTTACTTGATTTAATTCCTGTAAATGGTTCTCATACAGCTGGGTTAATTACTAGCAAGCTTTTACAAATTCTTGAAGAGTTTAGTATCAGTAATAATATTCTTGCATTAACTACAGACAATGGAAGCAACATGATAGCATGTGGTAATCAACTAGCAACTGAATTAGATCAGGAGTTTAATAATATGGCTTTTACTCATTACAGATGTGCTGCACATATTATAAATTTAGCAGTAAAAGCAGGAATGAGTCATGTTGGAAATGAAATCAAAAAACTTCGTCAATTTGTTGTTAAAATCAAGAATTCACCATTATTTTTGGATAAATTATCAGAAATTTGTACCCTTAAAAAAGTTAAATTTCTTAAACCAATTTTAGATATAGACATTCGCTGGAATTCCACATATTTTATGATTAATAGACAAATCTTAATGCAGGGTGTTTCAGAATTACTTGCAACAACAAATGTTGAAGAACTTGGAGATTTATTTCCAACAATATCTGAATGGCGACATATTAAGGTATTTTTTATTTTATAAATTATTATTTATTTTATTTTATAATTATATATTTATTAATTATTATTTTTTTTTTTACAGGAATTAGCAAAGGTATTAGAACCTATGTATGAAGCAACCAATTTATTATCATCATCAAAAAATCCTACACAAGGTGATATAAGATTGGTTTTTAATGGAATGTTTAAAAAATTGGATCATTATCAAAGAGGAAATCACCATACACAAAAGGCAATAGCATCAGCAATTTGTAATAAATTGAAAGCCTATTGGGACAAATATTTGAATCAATCTTCCATTACTTCTTCAATATTAGATCCACGCTACAAAACCACATTATTTAGTCATAATGATATAACTGAAATTATTAGTAAATTACAAGAATTATATTTGTCATATTTACCCTTAAATAATCAAACCATACCATCAGCACCAGCACGATCATCTCGTGATTATTTTCTTAATTTACTTAATCCAAATAATATTCGTCAAGAAGTATCGCATGATGAATTAGATCGATACTTAAATTCTCCAGTAAATAGTAATACAGGTTCTTTAATTTGGTGGAAAACTTATGAAAAGGATTACCCAGTACTATCTCAAATAGCTAAGGATTATTTAACAATCCAAGCAACGTCGGTTCCATCAGAAAGGGCATTTTCAATTTCGGGATTAACTATTTCAAAAACTAGAAATAGGTTAGATCCTGAAACGGCAAGGGCAATTATATGCATGAAAAATTGGATATCAGAAAAAGAAAGAATGGAAAATTGAATCAATACTTGCAATATGTCTTTTTTTTTTTCCTTTTTTTTTACATTATGTGAAATTTTGTTGGTAATTTTTTTTCTTATAATAAAAAATTTTTTGACGATATACGATATATTTAAATTCATGATCTGCATTACACAATTTTGTATAAAATACTATAAATATCCGGTCTAAACTTCGGTCTAAACTTCAGTCCAAACTTCGGTTCAAACTCTGGTTCTAAACCTATAACGGTTCGGTTTTGTACTCAAACCACCAGTTTTTGGACCGAAAACCGGATGGACCGAACCGTTAACATCCCTAGTCACAAACATTGCAAATATATGAAATATGTGTGATATGATCTATTAAAATGAAACACTACTTTTCCATTAACTGGAATTGCGGATTAATAAAAATTAGTTATACATTCTGTTAACCTTTAAGAAAAATAAATTGAGTTAATTGTCTTTTAGCAAATGAAATTATTTATTTGGATTTATAATTCTTTTTTTTTTACTTACTTTCTCGACAGTTAAATTAATGAAATATATTTAAATTATCATATATAATTTCTTTATTTTATACAAAAAATATGGTATAAATTGATTTTCATCTAGAATAAAAACGATCTTATATTATTATATTAATATAATTTTAATATAATACTATAATAAATTTAAATAGTATTTGTAAATAAGAATTATAATATTTTTGAATAAATAAATATCAACTTTATTAAATTATATTACTAATGTAATAAGTATTTTTACAAAAACTATAGTTTAAATATAAATATCATCAATTTAAGTTTTTAAGAAATTCAAATTATTTTATATATAATATATTAAAACAATATAATTTTAAAATATCTATAATTATAAGTTTAAATTAAAAATTAAAACTGCTTAATATTTTAAATATTTAGAAAAAGAATTTAATTAGTACTATTTATTATTTTTTTTATCTTAAATAAAGTACATTCATTATATCTAATTTATTTAAAAAAATAAAATAAAATAAAAAAAATACTAATAAAAAAAATAATACATATAACTGTAATATTAAATACCATTTACATTATTTGTAATTTTCAATAAATATTATCAATTATATAATATTTTAATTATTCAAATATAAAAATAAATTATAAATTATTTATTATGATATATTTTACAGTATATTTTTATTTTTGAATTAATATTATTTAATTAGTTTTATTATACAAATTTTAAATTTAAATACCTGCTAAAAAATTAAAAATCTTAATTTTTTAAAAATTATAAAACAAAATATAAAATAATATTACATTAAAATATCAATAAATTAATAACCAATAAGAATATTATAATAAATAAATTAACTAGCATTTTTATGTTTTTCTAATTCTGCAGCTAGTTCAGTTATTTGATTACGATATACATCTTTCATATCTTTAATATCTGCTTGTAATTCATCCACTTGTTCTGTCTTTTCTCCAAGTAATTCCAAAGTAATATGATATCTAAATAGAAAAAAACCAATGTGTTAAAATATAAATTTTAATTAATAATTTGTTAATTATTTTATACCTTTCATTTAATTCATAAAGTTGTTGTTCTAGTACTGAAAGCTTTTCTGCTTTTGTAGAACTAAATTACATTTATTTAAAAAAAATATATTAGTTAAAAATTTGTTTTTTTAAATAATTTTTTAATTATTTACTTACTAATCTTCCATTTGAACAGTTAATTTGACTAATTCATCTGCTAATTCATCTAATTAAATACAAAATAGCAATTAATAAATATTTTAAATAGAAATATTTTAATATATATAATTACCTCTATTTTTTGTAGTCATTTGTAATTGAGCTTGTAAAGCACCAACTTGTCCTTCTAAATGTCTTACTGAAGAATTTAGTTTCTCGACCATCATAACACAACTTATCATACTACTACTTCCATCAACACTTGATCTTGCACTTGATGTTGGACTATATACTACAGGCGATGATAATGCTCCATCATAATGTTTTTCCAAATGCGTTTCACTTGCTGATTTCAATGATCCCAATTGTGTTTCACTAGCTGATTTCAAAAAATTTCTCTTTATCGATTCTAATTTTATTTGACGTTTTTCTTGTTCATGTTCTTTAATAAGTTTGTTCTTTTGTTCAGAATGTAATTTTTGTTCCAATTCTTCTTGTTTTTCTTCTAATGCCTGCCTTAATGCACAACGGTACTGTTCTTCTGCTTCTTGCAATGCTATTTTATGAGTTTCTTTAGAAGATTCAAGTTCTGAAACTAAATCCTCAATTTTAGCTTCTAAATTAGGAATTCGAGCACGTAATGATTTGATTTCCTCGTTTAACTTTATGTTTTGATTATGTTTATCTATTAATTGAAGTTCTTGTTGCTCTGCAGTTAATGACTTTTTAATTGTAACATAAATGTGAATTAGAAATATTTATATATAAGACCAAGAAAATAAAATAAATTAATTACCATTTCTTTAAATTGATTATTTAAATTTTCAAACTTATCGGCGAAATGATCACGTTCCATTTCCATTTCAGTTAATTGTTTAGAAAGACTAAGAAAAAAAAAAAAAAAATTTTTTTAATTTTCAATATAAGTAAAAAAATTGGGGTACATTAATTTATTTTATTACCTGTTTTCAATTTTTTCCCAATTCTTCATGGACAGAGCATGCTGTGTCTGTACATCTTCTATTTGTCGAAGTATTTGAATATGCTCTACATCCCTTTCTCCTGATGTTACATCTTGTGCTGCAGCCTCAGCAATTTGCAATCGTTTTTGTAAAGTCTACATATATTAGAGTCGAATCATTTTCAAACAAATGACTTTGTAAATTGAAATAAAGTACTACATTTTGTTATCTTACCGATATTTCATGACGTAAATTATCTTCTCTTAAACCAGCCTGCTCTTCAATTCGTGCAAGCGTTGCTCTCAATTCACGAATCTGTAATAAATGGAAATTCAATAAAGAAACCTATTGAATAAATACACAAGTTAAATATCAGACCTCTGTTCGCAAAGAATTTTCTGTGTTCTCTGACTCGGTACGTAACTGTTCCAGTTCATGGTGAAGCCTTTCGTTTATTTGAATCTATAAAATAAATATCAAAATACATTTTATAATCTTTTAACGCAGGAAGATTTATTCCTATAGTAAATCATGTGAATTACGGTCATAGATATACCTCCTTTTCCAAAGCTGCAGTTTGCGCTTGCGATGATAAAGTAGCATTAATCTCAAGTGTTCTCTTAAGTTCTTCATTTGTCTGATCTAAAAGACGCTTTAAAAACGCGTTATAATTTTTTAAAAAAAAAATTTATTGTTGTCAACCCAATAGTATAAGAGCTCAATCCAAATTTAAATAACCGATAACAGTGCCACCATATGCAGAAATTACGTTAAATATTCTATCTCTCCCCTCTCTCTCAACTACAAACATACTTGAAGTTTTTCTCGTTCTTCTTTTGCAACAGCAACATCAATTTCTAATTTCAAATTTTTCTGTGTTTTCTTTTCCTTCTCGTTTTCGAGACTTTTCAAATCGTAACTATTCTTTTTTTCAATTTCTCGCAGTTGTTTTAAATTACTCGACAATTCCGCTATTTCTGATGTAGCCTTATCATATTTCTTTTGAAGATCAGCCAATCGATTTTCTTGCTCAATATCTTTAGCCCGATATTTTTTTAGATTTGTGCGATATTCAAGTTCACTTTTTGACAATTTTTCACCTGCATAATAAAAGAATCGTCAATAATTACTTAAATTAATTGTTGATAATAATAAATCATTTACCCTCGGACATGAGTCCGGAAATTTGCTCATCTTTCTCCAACAGCAATTTTCTCTGCATTTCAAGTAAATTTTGAATAGATGAACTCTCTTTACTTGCTTCTTGTTGTCTGAACATATTTAGCTCCTAAATTAATAATATAAAATCAATTCGATACAATCCACATTCGAAAAATAAAATTTTGATAATTTATATCAACCTTATTTGCGCCTTTTAATTGATTTTCCAAACCTTCTACATGATTTCTTGCAATTTTCAACTCGTCATTTTTATTTTCTTCCAGCTCCTTTAATTGTAATTTAAACTTTTCTACGGTATCATTTAATAATGCATTTTGCTCTATGGCACTTGTAAGCTGTCGTTCTCTTTGTTCAATAATCAATTGGAAATTTTTAGAAGTCTCAGGAGATTCAATAATCGATGATTTTTGATTGTCTATAACATCATTCTCCTGAGATTCTTCGTTTGTAGATTCTTCAAAAACTTTAATACCATTATTTTCTACATTATTTCCATTAATTTTAGAACTTGTATCAGATTCTTCCTTCTGCTTATCTGTTACAGATTCACTAGAAACCGGTATTAAACTATTGATCGAATGTCCATCTTTAATAGTTTCACTCTCATTTTGACTTGATTCATTCGTACTTGAAAAATCAGAAATACCATTTATAACAGGAGTATCTACTTTATTCTCATTATTGTCTTGGTTCTCATTTGGAACAGAAACAGAATTATTACTCTCTCTCGTATTGTCCTTTGTATTATTTAAATTTGGTTCCAACGTTGAATTCTTACTGGATGAATTATTAGGAACTTCAGAATCACTTTCTAATGAAGTTTTATGTAAAGAAGAACGGGGAGATTCTCCTTGTAATGACGATCGAGGTGAGCCAGTTTGTATACGAATGTTGGCAAGTAAATCACTACTCTTAGATTTTAAAGATTCAATTAAATCACTTGAATTGGATCGTGGACCTAATTTAGGTGAAGGTTTATTTGGTGTTGATGTTGGAGAAGCTGAAATATTATTATTTGAAATATTTGGCGATTTTGGACGTGCAGGAGGATCGATTGTAGTAACAAATCCAGTTATTGGATCAACATAGACGTCCCCCTGATAAGAATTATCTGGCGTGAAACAATTGCTTAATTATCATTGAGTAAATTTTTTTTTTAAAAAAAAAAATTTATTAATACACTTACTTTCACTCATGTCAAGAGCTTTATCAAGTTTGCTCTCGACAGTATTCATAGCCTGTTTTAACATATTTCCCCAGGACGATCCGCCCGAGCCATTTTTGTTATTAAAAAAACTCATTTGAAAATATAATATCTTTTTTACACGGAAAGTTTTAAACAGAGAGCAAAGATATATTAAGGAATAGTGCAAAAAATTTCCAAATAAGGTTCAATCAAGGGTTCAACAAGGTTCAACCACGTCTTACGTTATTTTAAACTAGCTCAAATCATTCGTCATTGTTACACACAAATAAAATATATATAGTAAACTTTTTCACGATGTTCTTTTATCATTCGTTTATAATGTCTAATAGTCCTAATAACCGGTTTATGAATCAGCCTTCAGGAACATATTGGCGACCAGTACCTATACAACCACCAGCACCAAGTGATCCCAGAATTATAAATCAATTTCATTCATATGAGACTGATAGTGATAGCGATATAACGAGAACTTATGGTACAATATATAGTAATACGAATTCTCCTGAAAGCAGCACTCCAGAGGTTTCACCAAGAGCAACACCTGAAATATCTTCTGCAATGCGAATGCGAATGATTGCACATACATCTCGTCCTATACCTTCCGTACAAAGTTATGATAATAATGGAATGAATTATACAGGTTTTTTTATTGTTACATGAATAATGTTATTAGCTAGATGTATTTATTGTCGAATTTTAATTCAGATGGTATAGATGACCAAAATAATGGTACAAGAGAAGTTTCAGAAATTGATGAAGTAAATAATGATTTGAATGGTGAAAATATATCTCAGCAGAATCAACTAGATCAACTAGATGGTAAATAATGCAAAAGAAAAAAAAAGCAAGTGTAATTCTAATTAAATAATGATTTATTTGTAATTATGTAAAATTTTTTAATAGAACCTACGAGACTTTTTTTAGTAACTTTACAAGCTTTACGTCAAAGAGTGCGCGAATTAGATTCCGATGCATGGATGTATGTAAAAACGAATGATAGATTTTCAAAATTTTAAACTTACGCGTCTTACGGAATGAAATTGTAAGCGAGTCCTTGAAATATTATTTAGATAAAATCAAAAAGTCAATTGTATAATTAACTGTATTCGTTTTTTTAAAACCTATTTATTTAACTGCTTAAAGAATCAAAATGCAAGAATAAATAGACAATTAACATTTGGAATGCGCGGCAATTATCTTCTTTACATTAAGTAAAGAAGATTATTTTATGTTTTCGCTTTTGACTTTAACTAGCCAGATCCAGAAAACTGGAGAAACAACTCGTGACAACTAGCGTGAAGGTTGGGTAAATCCACAAAGTCATTGGACAACTGCATTTAATATGATATGATAGGCAGAACGAAATCTAAATCGACCCTAATGTATAAAATGTCTTGAACGTTACTTAAATCCTAGGAATAAATAACAATGCCATTTCCCGTAAAATACTGAGTTTCCCTCAATGAATCGACTTACGGCACACAAGATTCTGGATTCTAACCGCAAATAAAAAAAAAGATTCATATAATTGAAATAATGCAATTACATAAAATTTTTTTCTTTGAATAATCTATCATATTTTTATTTATTTTAAATATTATGAGTATATTTATATAATTTTTTTTTATTTCTATAAAATTAGCTTTTCTTAATTACTTGAAACACTTCATATTCATCAAATTGATTACTTTGAGCAATAAGCTTGTCATATGAATTTTTAGTACACTCAAATCGTTTATCACTAACGTAAACCATCAAATCATCTTTACCTCCATCTACATGTCTTCCAAACCTTGGTCCTCTTTCCTTACAATTATAAATGGCACAATTACTATTTATTACTTTACTTATAATCGACTTATTAATATCTTCTTTGTTTAACGAAAAAATGAAACTATCATTAGTAACATAATAATCTCTTTTGGATGCCCAATTCAACGGATTATAACCTCCAAGTATTTCCCCAGTATTTTTGATACGTAAAATTGTTAATGAATGATCCTTACTATCACATCTATTATGAAATACTTGCTCACTAAATCCATCTCTGCTACCACGAGTTAATAATTCAAATTTAAAATAAGAATCTTTTGAAATCCATTTTGAAATGAATCTTAATTGTTTTGAATCAATTAAGATAGAATCTAATCTACAACGAAAATTTGTTGAATATAAAATAGATTTATCTCTTTTTTCAGGAACCAAATAATATTCTAAAATCGATTGATAAAAATTCTCTTCAAAAATTTTTCTATAAGGATTAATTTTAATATAAAAATCACTTGAACTAATAAAACCAAATCTAATAAATGATATAAGAGGATTTAAATTTTCTTTAAGAGCTTTAAAATCATTATCAGACCAAGATGATAATTCATTAGATAAATTTGATGTTCGCGCTATTCCCCATTTAATTACGTGATTCCAGATTTCAATTTCATCTAATTGTAAACCATCAAGTTGAATAAGTGATATTAAAAATTCTTGAGAAATATTTGAAATATCTGTATCATTAAAAATAAATTCTGGTGCATTTGTTATAATATCTTTAATATATTCATTCAATTTGAAAAATTCATTATGTTTTAATGTAAATTGATAAACTTTATAAAAATTTTCTCTTAACCAGTTTTTATGATATTTTAAAATATAATCTTGAATATAATCGAGAATTTCGGTTAAACATAATTCATCTGCCAATTTCAAGACTTCTAATAAAATCATCCCATTTTGTTCATTAAAATCCAAATTTCCGTTATATATATACCTAAAAAGAAAAAGAAATGTTAAAATAATCAATATATATATACGGTATTTACTGTATAAATTTATATTTACTTGAGAATAATATCAAAGGCTTTTATTGAAGAATTTGGTTTATCAAAATATATTTTGCCATCTTTAATATTTGCCCATTTATTTGATAATGCCGTACGGAAATATTTTGATCTTGCACAAAGTATAATCGAATGAACTCGAAATTCTTTAAAATTGGATTCATCTCCAACTTTAATAATCACATCATAAAAATTTTCACTTTCATATAACCTGCTATAATCTTTTAATAAAAATTCAATAAAATTTGAATTCATTTTATTTTTGTTTGAAAGATTGTTTAAGTATGTTCTACAAGTATGTTCTAAGATATAAATATGTTATCTGAACACCAATCACGTGAATTACTCCTATGTAATTTTACCACCCGCAAGCCCAAATAATAATATACAGGTAATGTTTTTATATAAGAGAATCTACAAAGATAAAAATAAACAAAAAAAAAACAAGTAAAAATAAAAATAGACCATTTAAAGTACATCACTAAATTGTTGCCTGTTTATATTATCCTCAGAATTTCTGTGATAAGAACTTTCAAATTCGGCAACATCCACCAACTTTCTTACATGCCCTTCAGCAACTTGTATCAATTTATATATATCTTCTATTTGATTATGAAGATTTTGTGAAGAAATTGGTTTAGACTTGAAATGATGTCCATCTTCAGAATTAATTTGTGAGGAAGATAAAACTTCAGACGATGTAGTATGATCTGTTTGTTCCGAATTGGATGTGTGAAACGCACTCTGTCTCTTCTCAGCTTCATCATACATTTTTGATCTTTCTTGTAACCACTGCCAAAGGGGATTATCTTTTTCATCTTCAAATCGCTCAACAAACAATGGGGTATATTCTCGATGTTCATATGATTTAGAGAAAAGGTCACTACCTCTTCTATTATTCATACTGTCAAGTTTATGTCCAATATTTCGAAGCGTTAGCCAATTGTTAATATTGTTAATTACCAAAATTAATAGTATTAACAACATTATGATATTTGAGGAGGGCATTGTGATATTTTTAATCAATGAATTTAGAATCGATGACAATATATTCGTCACAACATTCCAAATATTATTCTGATGTTGTACTGTTACTGATTCATTTTCTTGTAAGTTCGATACTTCTGTATTCGCTGGACGAATGCGATCTTTAGGTCGCGTATGTGCTCTCTTAAGTGATGCCTTTTCATCCACTGCTTCAGAATCAACAGTTTCTTCTTGAGCTGGAGCTCCTGATTCTTCTCCAAATTCTGAAGGATGAGCTGCAATATATTTTTTAATAGCTTGTGCAAGTTCTTTCCAATATGTTTGCTGTCCATCGATACAAGCCCTTTCGATTGTCCCTAGTTAAAAATTTTTTTATCGCAATTTTCTTATTAGCAATTTTGACGAAACAAAAATTGTTTATTAGAAGCATTTCTTATTTACCTTTCAACCAGCTTGATTTTGACCATTCTACAGAACAGGTAACAATTAATCTGGATTCATTAGCTCCCGCCCACATAATACATATTCTGGTTTTTACGCAAAAACTACTTCCAGATGGTACATCGGGTGTAGTTGTTGTTGACGCATTGGTAACATAATTGTCAAAATCTCGATGTTGACATTCATCTTTGATAATGCATTTAGTACTCTTGGGACCTAGATTTTAGAATCATGTTTATTATCTCAACTTTTATTTTATAATTATTATATTATATTTCTCACCTATAGAATTGTTTAATGGCTTTATATAACTTTGTGATCTTGTCCATGTACAACTTTCGGTATTCCATTCTCCAATTTCGACATCTTTTTTTTACAGAAATAATATGTTAAATATCACAAAAGGTCATAAAATAAAGAAAATATAATTTATGATTTCGTTACCTGTACACTTTTCTTCTTCTGTAAGGTATCGTTTCAAAAATTCACTCGTGAAAAGCAAATTAAAAATCTTTTCAACGCTACCAGTAAATTTTGTATCCAATGATACATTATTATAATGTTGTCCTTTTTTCAAACAAGCACATTGAGTAGATCGACGTTTTTTAATATTATTGTTTGCTGTGTGACGAGGTTGGTTTCGAGGGGACACGGGATGATATTTTTCTATACGTTTTGAATCAGCAATGTCAGCATCAAATAATTGCAACTCAGCATCAGACTTTGATCTTTGACGCTGTATCTTTTGTCCTTTTGTTATTTCACTAGAACTAACAAAATCACGCTTTTTCGGGGAAGGAGGTAATGATTGAAATAAACTATCAACTTTTTCTTGATGTAACGTATTATCATCATCCAAAAATAATGCCGAATTCGAAGATCCACGCATTAATCTCATTGGATCAAGCGTTAATCTTGGTAAGGCGAATTTCTTACGAGGACCTCTTTGTGAAGTTGTTGATTTTCCTGATCGCATACGATAAAATTTTCATACATCAAATAAAGATATACACTATTGGACTACTTATATTTCCCAATAATAATTTGAATATCCTGTAACATTCACTATTTTCTAATTACTCCATTGTATGGTAGAAAAAAAAAGAACATACCTTCATCATCGCCATCATCACTAGACGTAAAACCATCACCACCTGATGTTTCTGAAGCATCGGAACATTTTTGACTTGTTCCATATTCAGATTCGGTAAGGGAGGTCATCGGAAGAGATGGATGAACCTGCTTCCACAATGCAAACAACAAATCATAAACGCTATCCCTTGAAAGGAACGTCGTAAAGAAATGCTAATGTAATGTAACAAAAAATTAAAAGAAATTTCATACAAAAAAAAAAAAATAATAATAATAAAATAAATAAATAAATAATCTTATAACTTACTTTAGCATGCAGTGTAGATATTTGAATTGCATTAGGTATGACATATGCTGTCATCCTTTTTTCAATTGAAACAATATCAGAAAACGCAATCACCAACTGCAACGAACGGAATAGATTTAGTATCTGTCAGGTATAAATAAGTATATAACAACTATGATTTACATACGTTTGTAACCCATCCAAAAATATTTGCATTGAAACACACATGATTTGCAGAAACATATAATCGTCCTTGTACAAGGATTTCCTTCTGTAAAGCACATCCATAATCTTCAAATATAATAAATATATTTCGAATTAATAAATGCCTAATTGATGGAATGATAGAATTTTCCTCACCTACCATTTATAAGAAAATCTTCTTCCGGAACACTTCTAAATAAGGCATGAAATTCTGCATTCCTTCTTGGAGCAGCAGGAACGTGACCATTCAGTGGTGGAGATTCGATTAAGTTTTCATCAAAAACATTTACACTAGGTCTTTTCCTCTGTTTTGATGACTTTGCAGAATTTGACTTTGTAGGTAAACGAAACTTTTTTGAAGAATTTGAATCACTCAAAAGTAATGAATCACTTCGATCGGTTAAATTGGCATTTGAAGCATTAGGTATTTGTGAAGCAATATCACCAGCTATAGGTGTGGTAAGTTCATCGTCAAACTCACGGTCAAAATGTTCAATTTTCAAAGAAGTAACAGAATTACTAGGTGAAATAGAAATAGAAGGTTGAATTATGATTGGCGTGGTATCTACTGGTTCCACCGTTCCTGCCAAGTTTTCTTGCAACGACGTAGACGAATCAACGTTTACATCCAATTGTTTATTTTCGTCTTTTGGTGTTGATATAGGAGTAGGAAAGGGATAATTTCCGTTGGTTTCGTTAAGTCTTGTATTACCTAACAAGTCTGTTTTATCACTTTGTTTTTGTGGAGAACCGTTTGTGCCGTCCCTAGATTGTTCACTATCCGAGTTATTCCTAGATAATGTGTCTCTTATAGTAGAAGGCAAAGCGGTTTTCGCAATTGATAACATTTAAAACAAAAGTGTATAAAGAAGATTGTTAGAAGTTGGAAAGACTGAGCGAACTGGGCAAAGTTTTTAATAATTTTGATCAAGAATGTTTGTTGGGAGCACAACGCTCGGTTTATTTATGTAAACTAATGAGAGTGTGACATTTAATGGCTTTTTTGTTATTAAACATTGATTTTTTCAGTATAAAAACAATGCAGTCATAATTACATATAAAATCTTTTTTGCATAAAGGTAAGACGATCTCACGGTGGATAATCGTTGGCAAAACGCCATACGGTAATACATCTGAATTTCATTATGTTTTCTATTTTAGCAAAAGATAATCGCAAAATATTGGCATCTAAAAATAAGTTAAGAATTTTACTATGGAAAAAAATGACGACACCAAGCAGCAAATGAGACTCCCCTCCCTAAAATTCTTAAATTCCCAAAGGTAATCTCATGAATTCTTTTCGGTTGTACAATAAACTGGGGAAATGAAAATCATTGTAATCTTGATGGTTATATGGTTATATGGCTTTTTTTTTTATTAATTACGGAAATTCCTTTAATTGAAATGGCTTGGCAATATCAGTAAAAAATGCAAACAAAAAAATCTAGTATATTAATTATATTATTTATAAGCAAAAGATTTTTTTATTACCAGATTTACAACCGTATTATAATTTTAGATTTTATAATGAGACTTGCTATATATCGCCTAATTATATAATTATATTAAAATAAATTATTAATGAACCTTTTCCGGGAATTTTCTTATTATTTTATTGGTTTATTAATTATTATCAATTTGAAGGTTAATTAATTCGTTATTCGTTATCTGTTAATAGCATATAGATTTTATTATATTAGTAATATTTTTTTTTAGAAAATGTAGTTTTAAATGTTTTAAATACTTCAACAAGGATTAAATATGAGCCAATATAACAAAAAGATAGCCTTAATTTATCTCACCCTGCACATCATAAAATACCACGCCCCCACGGGTATAATTCAGGGTAAATTTGATCAGTTGGGGGGTATCGATATTGAATATGACAGTATGATTACAAATCAACTATACTATATATACCGTCAACGAAGTAAGGTTATATGAAAATATTATAGAATATTACAAAAGTAAAAAAAGTAATACAATATTGAGGTCATATTAAGTTTTTTATGTGTGTATTTATTAGATGTCATTTTAAAAATTGTTAGGAATTGCTAAAAATATGGAACTTATTAAAAGAAATGAACATTTTATAAAACCAAATTACAATTATTAAATTATATAAAGTTATAGAATAAAAGTTAATAGTAAAATGATTAAATTTATATATTTTTATATCTAATGAAATACCTGTATATATTTATACTGAAGAAATATAATATAAAAATTAATATATATTAGGATATTAAATATTAGTAGTATTAAGTTTGAACCCTTGAAAAACTGTAATTTGGCAAGAATTTTAGATTTAGATTTGAAATATTTTTATATATAAAAAAAAAAGTAATTATACAATTTAATATATTTTAGGTCAAAGAATTCAAATAATTTCAGATATAATTTTGGATATTAAGTAAATTAATTTGTTTACTATAAAAGATAATTTCAGATTTCAGATTTTAATAAGATATAACTTTACTATAAAAATCAATTTCAAAGCTATCTATAGGCTAAACTGAACTGATGGAATTAATAATTTAATTTAACTTAAGAGTTTTCAAATTGCAGTTTGATTTAACTTGAAAAATTTCAAGTTGCAATCTGATTTAATCTGAAAATTTCAAATTAATAGAATTGTAAAATCAATAGTAATTTTGCAAATATTATTATTTATTTAATATTATTAAATTAAACTGAATTTTCAAGTTGTGATCTAGTTTGACTTGAAAGTTTCAAGTTGTCAATTCAGTTTAATTTAACTTGAATTTTATCAATTAATTTTAATTTTAAATAAAATCAAATTGAATTTTTAATAATATTAATATTAAGATTTAATTGTAATAAAAAAAGTAACATTTATAACATAATTATTAAAAAAGGAAAAAAAATAGGTAAGATCTTACTGTATATTATACTTAATAAAATTATATAATTTATAATATAATAATTTAATTGGCTATTAAATCTGATGACATATAATATAATATATCTGATATATTATTATTCTAAATATTATTTAAAATCTTTTAATTGCTAAATAAAATTATAAAGTAAATATAAATAAATATAAAAATAATAAAATATAATTTTAAAAAAATTCTATAAAAGTATAATATATAAAGGTTTTGTTTTTTATTACATCTGCGTTATATCATATCCCTATAATATATTACATATAAAAGTCATAAATAATATTCTAAATCCTTTTTGATATATTAAAAAAACTTGTAAAGCAGTCAAAAATATATATAATATAAGGTTTTTTATATCAGAATTTTTTAAAAAATAGGAAATCTTAATAAAGTTATATGATCAAAATGATCAATATAATTAATATATAAAGATTACCAAAAAGAGAAATGTGATATATTGCAGATTTTATTTTATTTTTTTTTTGCTTTTTAATTATTAATATAAATATTATATAAGATAACTTTACATTATAAAAACTTTAATAATAAAATAAATATTTTGCCAAATAAAACATATATTAATAAACACAGGTCGAAAAGTGAAAAATCAGGCACCAATCGGTGACTGATAAGCATTTTTGCCAAATACTGTCACCAATCAGGCAGTTTGCTAACTTTTGATCCAGTGATCAGAAAAAGATGAAATATAGCTCATTGGAATCGTCTCAACATTACGAATCTAATGGTAGTAAAATCGCATTTCTAGGATTAATAATTGATGAGAAATTAAGTAAAATATAAAAATAAAAATGTATCATTTATATTTTATTTAATTTTTTATTAACTATTAATCCTAGAGATGCGATTTTACTACCATTAGATTCGTCTTGTTGAGACGATTCCAATGAGTTATATTTCATTCTTTTCTGATCATTGGATCAAAAGTTAGCAAACTGCCTGATTGGTGACTGATTGATGCCTGATTTTTCACTTTTCGACCTGTGAAATATTCTGTATTTAAAAAAAAAAGTTTTTATAATTTATTATTTTAAAAGTAAAATTTAAAATTTATAAATTTTTTTACAATTTTAATTTTATAATTCTGATTAGAATTAAATAATTAGTATATAAAATAATTTTTTTTGAAATAAAAATGAGATTAAATATTACATATAGATAAAATTGATACCTTAATTATTTTTTAATATATAAAAATATAGAATTACAGTTGTAAATTGTAAGTTACAATTAGTAACTAAAATCTAATTGCTATATATATAAGTGAAATTTAAATTTATTCTTTTAAAAATATTATAAAAAAATATATTAATTGAATTAAATTGATTGATAAAATTAATAAACTAATTATTAAAATACAATAAAAGTAATAATAAATAACAATATATATTTCATTATTTTTTATAATAATAAAAAATTCAAATAATTAAAATTAATTAGTTTATATAAATTATAAAATAGGATATAAAATAAATTTTTTACTAATTATCTATTAATAAAGTCAAATTATGATTTATTTTATATATATCTAAAATTCTATTTTAAAAAATTATTACAATTTGCAGCTTATAATGCATCCATATGCAGTTTTTTTTTTACACACAGTAAAAAAAATTATTAAATTTATTTTTAATGAATGCACAATCAGCGTCCATGCATAGTTTTTTTGATGGGCAGTCAAAATTTTTGTATACCCATTTAGACTATTTTGATCAACAATAAACTATTTTATTTCCTACACTCTTTCTCTCTTAGCTTACTCTTTCCTTACACTCTTTCCCTTTTCATCAAATATTACTATCCTTTACTCTTTTCCTTTCTATAAATACAATTAATATAAGCGATTCAGAATCTTTTTCAAGTGATGATGAGTTTTTTCCCACTGATTTTCCTGAAAATATAACAAAAGATAGTGATTCTAGTGATGGCGAAGATTATACATGCCACCCAAATTATTTTGGGCTGCCATAATTATAAGTGAAATCCCAAATTCAATTATAGCATCCCAAATTATTTTGGCACTTTACATAGTAAATTATATATAAACTAAATGAATTACGGCATCCCAAATTATAATTATGGCATCCCAAAATAATTTGGGCAGCATGTATAGCGAAAATGATGATTTCTATTCTTATAATATAAGTAGTTCAACTTTAACATTAGATGTTGGATTAACATTTTCCTTTTAGAAGATAGCTTTTCAACATATTAAATAATGAGTTCATCAACAAGGTTTTTTTGTTTGTAAAGGAAGATTAGAAAAAGTGCAATCTGAACAAAGAAAACAAACAATTGTGTATCATTGTGAAGAAGTTCCTAATATTAAGCCAAATAAATAAACAAAATCATGTTATACAAATTGTAAGTGGTATGTTAACCTTTCTAGACCAATAAAAAACAATCCTAACTTTTTGATTTTTGTTACTACACTTTTAAATGAACACTCTGGTCATAATTTAGATGTTTCTGCATGTCATTTTGAAGCATTTAAAGCTTTTACAAAGCCTATGTTAAAAGATATTGAATGGATGTCTATACATGATTATTTGAAATCATTGGCAATTAAACGTATGTTAAAAGCCAAATATAACAGAAAAGTTTATAATCAAGACCTTTACAAAGTGATTTACAAGTATCATCATAACAATAATACATATGGTAATGATGTTTTATAAGTTTTTGAATACCTTGAAAAATGTAAAGATGATGATTCACATTGGATAATTTATAAAGATTAGGACCATGAAACTAATACACTGATGAAGCTTTTTTGGATGAGTCCTAAGTAACAAGAAACTTAGTGTTTATATAGTGATGTAGTTCTTAATGACAATACCTTAAAAACAAATCATTATGATATGTTTCTTTCATTTTTTGTAGCAATTGATAACAATATGAAGTCACGAATTATAGTTCAAGTATTAATGAATTAGGAAACTAAGAAAGCATACAGTTGGATTCTGCAATATACAATAGATGCAACAAGATTAATGCCAAAAGTATTTGTAACAGATGCTGATCCCGGTATGGACACAGCAATTCAATTAAAATATCCTTCTACATTTGCAATTCACTGTATTTAGTATATTAGATAAAATCTACTATTGCGTTTGAAATCAAAACTTGGTGGATCATTTAACCAATTCAAAAATGATTTTTATGAATGTCGAAATAGTTTAGACTTTAAAGCAAGAAGTGTTTGAAAAACGTTGGCAAGATTTACTTGCTAACTATCCAAATGCAGTTAGTTATCTTAAGAAAGTTCTTTATCCATCAAAAACTTCTTAGACACATGCATTTAGTACTAATATCTTTACAATAGATATACAAATTACATTACGTAGTGAATCAGTTAATGGTACCTTTAAACGTCTTTTGTACAATTCAAATAGCACACTAGTAGATATACTTCTTAAAGTTGAGGAACGATTAGAAGAGAAGCAAGATAATTAAGATTACGTGAACTGGCATAATACTCTTTTAATTATCCAGTCTACAACTATTGCATCAAATGCTTTTAGTGATATAATCAGTGAACTTAAAGAATTTACTACATTTCCAATTCAAAAAATTCATTACAATGAAATGGAATTGGCATTTAATTATGATGCAAAACTTTTAGATCGATCTTGTATTATTAATGAAGATTTAAAGGTTAGAAATTTCAAAGCATGATAATAAATATTCATTTGAAATATACTTATCTAATCACATTTTATTTACCAAATTAAATTTTTAGGATTGGTCATTTTATTGAGAAATAAGAAATAAGACAAGTTATATTTCAAAACCTTTTGTCATCATATAATGAAACAACTATTAAATGTCTTTGGGAAGTTAATTATTTAACTTCTTTTGAAGTACATCACTTGGTTATTTTATTGAATAATAGAATATACAAATGTTTGTGTATGTCTCTAGTAACCTGTGGAATGATCTGCAGACACTATTTTAGTGTAATGTTACGAACTTCAGATGCACAATTTCATATTGGATTTCTTAATCAATGCTGGTTTATTTCAAATCAATTGGATTTTAGAAAGCAACCTTTTTATCCTGCTACGAAATTTAAAAGTGAATCAAACGCTTAATTTTTAGCTCTTAGTAATACCATATCTGATTTTTCTAACTCAACAGATGAAGTTTCTAAACTTAATATTAATCAATATGCTTCTCTTAAAAAGCAACATCTATATAATGTTAATGTACGAGAGCTGACCAATCAAGCTAAGCAGATTGCTTGCAAAAGTTGTGATAAATTCTTTATTACTTTACTTGAGGAATATATTGACAAAAAAAACTGGAAAGCAATAAATTTACAACATATTGATGTATATAGTAGTCAACATCAAATCATAAATGAAGAAGTAGACCAAGAAAATGATAGAATTATTGGAAATCCTATAATCAGACATCCTAAAGGATGACCATCTGAAACTGCAAGATTTAAAGGACCTTTACAAACTTCAACTCAGTCTAATGAAGTTCCAACAGGTCAAAAATATAGTTTATGCAATAGAAATGGTCATAATCATGCTACATATCCAATGAATCCAATCGAAAGAAAAGAAACAATGAAGTATTGAATCATTAGATTTGTAATATTGAATTAAGGTAAGTGTTGAGTCAGATTAAAGTTAAGGTTGGGGTTAGGGTTAGGGTTAGGATTAGGATTAGGGTTAGAGTTAGGATTAGGATTAGGTTAGGGTTAGGGTTAGGGTTAGGTTGGTTTAGTTAAAATTTAAAAGTTTAAAATGCTAACTCAATTATTTTTTTTATTTTGTAGATATAAAGTATGAATTTGCATTTATTTATTAATATGTTATTATAATTGTTTACAATAAAATTTATAAAATATTAGTTAGGTGCACATAGAATAATGTACGTGACTACGTGTTGCTATAATTTCTAATAAATTTTTTATATTTTTTATGCATGCGTAGAAATAATAAGAGTTTAAAATTTTATATATAATTTATGCACCTCTGCACTTTGTGCAGATGCGTAGAAAAAAAAAACCTGATATTATATATATATATTTTTTAATATTTATATTTACAGATTATCGCTATTTTCGATTTGGTTGAATCTGTACTATGTTGATCAATTATAATAAATTTACCGAAAACACCAAAAACACCCGAGTTATTTGATTTGTTAATAAAAGCGTGACTCTTAAATGATTTTCAATTAAAATATGATATAAAAGGATAGTACCTGGCGCAGTTTGTACAATAAAATCCAAAAAATGACGCGTGAATATCTACCTGTTAATTGCTACACTTGTAAAAAGTGTTTAATTTGTTTTACTTTAGACACTTGCAAGTGTGATAAAAGTGTGAAACTAACAAGAGTAGGCAACCCACAACGTGGTCAACAAATTTATTCTCTCGTTTTTACTCCCAACGAAGAACTGTAAACTTCAAACCAATTTCTTTTTTCTGCTAACGAAAAATTTCAATACAATAGCAATTTTAACATTCCATTTTCTTTCACCTTTTGTTCTACTTGCAATAGTAAATTTCAAAGATTGAAAGGTAATGATAAGTTAGCTAAAAGAAAAGACATATATCTGTCTCTTATACACATCTAGATGTGTATAAGAGACAGAAGGTAATGATAAGTTAGCTAAAAGAAAATACATATATACTAAAAAAAAAAAAATACTTGCTGAAAAAGAGGAGAAGATATTAGAAAAATCTACTAATAAAATGAATAGTATATCTATTGATGTTGAAGATACTAAATCTAGTGATTTTGTTGATGGAGAAGATGAGGATGATATTTCTGAATTTTCTGAAGTTGAAGACTATGGAATTGATCAAATCAAGTTACAAATAGCTATTGAAAAGAAGGGTAAGAAAACTTCTACTTCTAAAACTATAACCATTAAACCAGTTGAATATATTACTGTTATAGAAGGAATTAATAATGCTGTTCAAAAAGCACTTAAGAATAGAAATATCAAGCCAGCAGATTACAGTATGTCATATAAAGCAGTAAATGCGCGTGGCCCTTCAAGTACATTAGAAGATAAATTGGATTTTAATGAATTTATTGAAGATTATAAGAAAATCATTGCTGCAGGCAAGAAAGTGTCAATAATAATTGTAATTGGTGATGATTCTACAAATGAAAAAACAAAATCAAAGCGTTTAAAGGTAAGAAAGTTCTGAAGTTCAACTGTTTTTTTAGTTTTTTCAATATCTAATTTCATATTAAAAATTTCAGGCTTCTGACAAAAGTGATTCCTCAGCTTCTGATGAAGAAAGAAATCAAAGAATATTATCAAATTCTAAAAAGAAAAGAAAGTCGCGTGCTATTCAAGAAAATGATTTATCTAAAGAAGAACAAACAAGAGCGGGAATCATAGCTGCTTTATGTGAAAAATACAAGTGTGATATGCATAATACACCATGCTTTATTCAAGAAAATCGCCATTTACAACTAAATCCAGCTAGATTACAGCTTTGGGCACGTGAAATTGTAAGTAATTTTAATTATTAGCAAATTGATTTTGCATTTATTTCAATTCTAACCTCAATAAAAATTATAGCATAATAAAAATACTACTTATGACGTTCCTCAAACATTTCCAACATTCAATGCAGCATTGGGCACGTTGGTAAACAAAAATAATGATACACAAATACCAACTATAGCGTCTACTACATCTACTACACCTGTTAATCCTATTGTGATTCAAATGCCATATCCTTATTCTCATTCTCCTTCAAATACATCTATTCATCCAACATCTATTCATCCAATATCATCACCTACTACAAATCATGAATTACCTTCAGTTACTGAATTTTTTCTTAACTTAGATCAAAAATATAATTGTAATAATGTATATTCCAAATTTGAAAATGCTTTTTTATAAGAAGAAATTACGGTAAATGCAATTAAAGATTTGACTGATGAACAAATGGTAAATTTAGGAATTGTTAAAATTGGGTGGCAAAAAAACATTAGGCAAGCAGCACAAAGATATTGATTGATTAGTATATTTTTGTATTTCATTATAAAATATAATAAAAAATTGTTTACTAATAAAATTGATATTCTAATTTTATTTTATTTTTTATAATAAATTTTTTACAAATAAATTGATGACTTAAAAAATGATTGTGCCATTTGAGGTGTAATTTGACTGCATGCAATTAATAAAGCATATATTGGATCATTACAAGCATCCATAAAATCATAATTACTTTTAATCCATGATTTAATTATTGAAAATGCTGTTTCTATAGGGTTATAATCAGGAGAATAAGGTGGAAGAAAAATTACGTTACATCCCAATCCTTCTAATAGCGAAATAAGATCATCATCATAATGTATTCTGGCATTATCCATTATAATAACGCTATTATTACCAGGATAGGGATTCATTACAGGAACCTATATTGAAATATTGAGAATTTATATAAGTTATAATTTTAAAATAATATTATAATTTTACATACCACTTGATCAAGTACAAATTTAACGAATTTATTTTTATCACATGCCCCTTTAAACACATCAACTGCAACAAATCCATCTAAAGTAAGAGCAGTCAAGATTGTATATCTTTTTCCTTGTACAAATACCACTTTTTTGCATGCACGTATATTTCTAGGAGAATATCCATATAATCTTGACAAACTTCTCTCATCCTTAGCACTTTCATCAATAAAGATTAATTGATTTGGAGTATAATGCTCACCAATAATTCCTAAATAATGTGCACGCATAATTTCACTTCTCTCATATGCTTCTTTTTGTAACTTTATAAAAAAAAAAAACTATAATTAGAATATGCAGTTACTAATTTTTTTCTGAAAATTAAAATTTTCAATACCTTTTTTCTGGTAATTCCTAAATAATGAAGTGATCTCCAGAGTGTTACAATAGAAGCTCTTTTTCCTGTAAGATTTTCCATCTCACTCACCAACTCGTTTAAATACCTTTTAACTTTATCTCTAATGAGATTTTGGAGTATATACATATCATTTCTACTGAAAAGCTTTCTTCTTCCAGAAATCCCTTTATATGGATTGGTAACACACACCCATTTTTCATAAATATTTATTATTCTAGTTACAGAAGACTTGCTCATATATAATGTATTAGCAATATCTATAATAGAGAAACCATCGGTATATAAATATACTACTCTCCATTGTAAATCCTCACTAAATTCTTTAGGCATGAGGTATTTCTATTTATAAATAAGATAAAATTTTAGTTGAATAAGCAGAAATAATCATAAATATAGTATAGAACCTAATGTTGAAGTAAATCTAACAAATGGAAGCGAAATAAATCTAAAAAATACATACACAAGGTCTTTTCTATCAAGAAATAAATATTTCAGTTCAAAATTTTAGTTGAACAAGCGTTATAATTGTAGTGATTGCAATATATAATGTGGACCGAATGTTGAATCGCTAGTAATCTTCTAATAAATAGAAAAAAAAATTCAAAGAAAGTACAAAAACATACGCGTTATAACTCAATCATCATGCGTAATACAAAAAATTTGCATGTTGATAAGCAAAGCATAAAGTTTTATATGTACTACTTTACAAAATCACGAGTTTTTGCCAATTTTATTATAATTGATCAACATAGTGCAGATTCAATCAAATCGAAAACGGCGATAAATAAATAATTATATTTTAAAATATTAAAAAAAAATTAATTTTATATTTATTTAAGATTAATTTAAATTAATTTATTAAAAATGAATTTTACTTTGATTTATATATAATTTAATATATTAAATTTTTTAATAAATTAGAATTTTATAAAATATCTTTAAATAAGTCATGAATTATACTTTTAGATCTAAAGTTTAAATAAAAAGTTAAAAATTGGAATTATGTAGTAATCTAATTTTGATGATTTTTTTTTGGTTTGTAACTTTGTAATTTAAAAAAAAAAATTATTAAAATTAAATTATTGGATACTATAATATTTGCAAAATACAAATTTTTGAATTTTAGTAAAAAAGTGTGATTTTGGCTAATTTTAATATCTTATTTTAGCATTAAAATTTTATAAAAAATTTTTATTTTTTAAATTTTTTTTTTTAGTTTTTTTAGTTTTTTTTAAAAACTTTTTTTTAATTGTAATACATTTATGAATTTATTAAATTAAAAAAAATAGGATGGATATATATTAAGTAAAGAACTATTTATATAATTCTAATATTATTAATCTATAAATTACCTTAAATAAACAGTTTTATTGAATAGATAGTTAGGATTTATTATTTTTATAAAAAACAATTTAATAATTAATCTTTTATTTTTATTAAAATCCATTTATTACAGTTTACTCTTGATATATTGTAAGAACAAAGGAAACTATATTAAAAAATGAAAATATAAGTTTAAGAAATGCCTTTTAATATTAACAACATATCTATGAATATAAAAATAAAATAAGTTTATATTAAGAAGACTTAAAGAAAAAATAAAGAAAAAATAAAAATTATATTTGTAAAAAAAAAATGGTTAGAAATAAAATTTAAACTGAAAAAATTTAAATTTCAATAAAATATACTTTAGGTGATTTTTTACCTAGTGAATTTTACTTCTGGTATACATTAAGATTATTAAATAAGATAAATAAGTATTAAATTATAGTTTATTATTATAAAGGCATACTAAAATACTTGCAATTCTAGTTATAATGTGTTAGCAGGCTTTATATATATAAATTATAAAATCATATTTAACAATCTGGTTTTTTTTAATATAAAGAAATATATAAAATAGTTTTATTTCTTATCATTATTTAACCTTAAAATCTTAATTTTAATCTTAAAGAAATCAAAAATTTTAAATAGTTCCTATCAATTTTACGCATAATTAAAAACATTAAAAATAATAAAATAACGTTTTTATCTGTCTAAATTTTTTTTTTTTTTTTTTGCAAGTTGATTATTAGTTTCTTTTCAGAAAAAGTATATAATAATTTCTCTTTTTTTTTGTAATTGATAACTAAACAATTATATAATAATATCTTACGCTTCGCTCCGGACAATTAAAAGATGTATTCTTTCTTTAAGGTATAATAAAGGCGAAACATCTTTCAAACCTTTGTAAAAGTAAAGTGAAATATAAAAAGAATTCCAAATTAAGTAGATGTTAAATTTTTTAAAAAAAAAGTAAAAACATTACATTCGGAAAAAAATTATATATTATGTTGATTTTATGGAATTCCTTTTAGCTCTCATAAACGTTACCTTATTAAGACGCGTTATTTTAGCCAAAAAAAAATAAATATTAGCCAAAGTTCGCGTAAATTTTTTTTTTTTTTTGTGTTGATTTTTTGAAAAAAAATGGATATATTAAATATTAAAAATTTACAAATTTTACAATGTAAAAAAAGATAAAGAACCTCTTCCGCTCCATTAATAACCAAGAGAAAATAAATCAAGTGTTAAATATTTTACAAATTCTATAAATTTAACTTAATTAAATTATAAATATAATACATAGGCTGTATATTAGAAAATATACATCTTGTAAATAAAATAATCCATAGAAGCCATATGATAAATGACTGGCGGGATTTAATTATTACTCTTCTCCAAGCCACTTTTCTAGCATCTCTTTCAATTGACCAATCTTAAGTGGCTTAGTAAGATAATCATTCATCCCACTTTCTAAGCATCTATCACGAGTCCCTTGTACTGCCGAAGCTGTCAATGCTATTATTGGTATCTTTGACAATGGAGATTGAAATAATCTAATAGCTTTAGATGCATCAAAACCTGACATTTCCGGCTAAAAGAAATTATTTTTGTAATTAATAGAGTATATATGATAATTAAAAGAAAAAAGTAAATATTGTAATTATTATTTAATTACCATAGCACAATCCATTAAAATTAAAGAAATTCTTGGAGATTCATCATTTGGAGTACTATTTGCTATTTCTGCTTCAATTACATTAACAGCCTCTTGCCCATTTGTGGCCGATAAAGTAGGATATCCAAGTTTTGCTAATTGATGCTGAATAACTCGTAAATTTATTGGATTATCTTCCTGCAATATTTACATATTTTCGATTAAAGACCAATTAGTTATAACCAAAAAAAAAAAAAGTATTTATCAAACACTTATTAAAAGTAAACTAACCACACATAAGATACATTTTGATTTAGTTATTTTCCTTGATCGAGATTTCTGAGCACGTGGATTATTATCAGTCACATTTCTTTTAACACCAATAACCATATTTTCTCCGGTTTGAGTCGAACTAGATGAAGTCGTGTCAGAAACTTGTGATTTTATCTCCTTTTTAACAGTACTATCTTCATCAATAACCATAGGGTCAGTAGATTGATCATTTTCTTGATTATTTCCAATGATCATTGAATCATTTTCATTTCTATTTGTAATACTTGTATCCAGAGACCTATTTTGATGATAATACTTTTCCACGCGAATATCGGCTAAAGATTTGACATAACTATATTCTCCTCTATCGTGTTTTGACGGGGAAGTAATATCACTTTGTTTAAATATATCATTATTACGCAAACAGTCCAGTAATCTCTTATGCATAATAGGCTTACATAATGCAGCCGTATGCCCTCCTATTTGATAAATAAGATCTTTCCCTAAGGCTCTTCCGTTAGCGCTCCAAAATACCAATAAAGCTATAGATAGATCCTGTCCACAGATTGATCTTAATTGCAATGCAGAATTCTTAACTAACTCTGCATTTTCTTTATATACGTTAAAGAAAACTACATCATATGGTGGTTCATTATGTTTTTCAACCATTTGACTCACTGCATTAACTCCTTCCTCGCAACTATTGAAGGCATCAACTTTATCTACACTATCTTTGAACAATTTCACTAAAGAATTTCTTGCAGCTTCAACTGAATCTATAATAAGAACTCTTTTGTATTGTTCAGCCGATGGCAATACTAAACCCGTCTGTTCGTTTAACGAATCGTTTAACGAATCCAATGAAATTGAAGTTGCTGGAATGTCGACATTCCATGTGAACCAGAATCGACTTCCTTTTTTGAGTTCACTAACTACGTCTATCTCTCCTCCATTAATGTCTACTAAATGTTTACATATGGACAAACCGAGTCCCGTACCATCTTGTCTTCGTGTCATTGACGCATCACCTTGTGAAAAACTTTTGAAAATATCTTTTATAAATGCTGGATCGATTCTGTAAAGAGAAAATAACGGTAAATTACTATAAATCGAGAATTGGAATTATAGAATAAAAATTTGTTCAACATTACCCAATACCAGTATCACATAGTTCAACATATAATTTGGCTTTTTTTCCGGCTTCTTGTCCTTGAACTACAGATGTCATTTCAGTTTCTTCGTATGGAATCATTGAAATTTTAAGTACAATTTTTCCGTTTTCAGTGAACTTTATCCTAAATAAAAAAAGGTTGGATTATTGAATCATTCGAATGCATGAAGTACATAAAATTTTTATATGAAGTTTCGAAATACTTACGAATTAGATAACAGATTCATCAATATTTGTTGGAGCCTATTAATAAATTATAAATTCAAATAAAAAAACAATCGATCATATTTCTCAAATCAAATGATCATAAAATAAATCCCTACCTTTCGGGATCAGATCTCACATCTTTAGGTAAACTATTCGGTTCGCAGTCCAAAATCAACTCAATTTGTTTATTACCAGCCTTTTCACCAAATATCTCGATTGTTTTTTCTACCAAATCGAATAGGTCGAAAGTTCGATTAACTAATTTTATTTTTTGTGCTTCCAATTTTGCAGCGTCAAGAATATCATTAACCACAGCGAGAACGACATCAGATGCACGTGTCATTATTTGAATCATATCCTTTTGATCATCTGTCAATGCTGTATCTTCAAATGCGGATAATACACCTATGATGGCTCCTAATGGCGTCCTTAATTCTTTTTTTTTTTAAAAAAAAAAAAAAAAAATGAGGGTAAAAAGTGAATAGTGTTAATATTTTCTTTGACTATTTATATAAATTATTATTCTTTTGCCGCTTGATACATACCATGACTGGTATTAGCCAAGATTTGACTCTTAGCTTCGTTTGCAGCTCTAGCAGCTTCAATTTGTGCTTCCCTTCTCAATTTATCTTCCAACAATTTGGCATGAGTAATAGCTAAACTTATTTGATTTGATATCTGTTGTAAAAATTCTTTTTCACTATCTAACCAAACACTATTTGGTGGTCTATGTACTATTAACCATCCCCAAGTTGATTGGTTAACTTTAATTGCTACAGCTAATAACGATACATATTTTTGTACATTAATTGAATAAAAATTTGCAATTTCCGCAGTATCCAAATCTTCTTTGTCAGATAGGTTAGATGACTCGGATTGATTTTTAGAATTTTTAGATAATTCAGACGATGTTGAAGTTGAAATTCCAATCTCATTTGTAATATCTTTTTGATCTTTCAAAGTTTTATCAAAAAATTGATTCTGTTCATTTGTCATAATAGCTATAGCTTTATTAGCATTATCAATTATATTATGAATGTCATTTTCTTCATCTAATAATCTTCTTTCTTCTAATTCCTTAATTAATTTTTCCACAATTACTGGATCACTGTGCAATCTAATTTGTTCTGAATTAAATTTAAAACATTGCCCTTTTATATTCTTTTCACTTTTGTCTTTAGCTGAAAATGCTTCAATTATACCATCGCCATTTTCAAATTGATCATTGGCCGTTATAAATAATCTATCAGCTGATAATGTTCTATGTATTTCCTCAGCAGCTGTCGAGAGTGTTTTCTGCAAATTAAATCCTGAATGGATTTTATTAGAAATTGAAAATAAGAGCTGTTTTGTTTCGGCCTGCTGACGCTGTTGCAGAAAAAGTTGACGACGCAAATAAGAAAGTTTAATGTTTACACGAACTCTGGCTATAAGTTCTCGTGCACTAAATGGTTTTGTTAAATAATCGTCAGCTCCTTTATCCAAACCTTTATATATATTTACAAAGAATATTAGTATGTTAGGCTACTTAAATGTATGATTTTTTTCATGTGAAATAATAAATTCACCTTCAATGCTAGCCTCTTCGCCAGCCTTAGCGGATAAAAGGATTACAGGGATTAATTGAGTTGAAATATCACTCCTAATACTTTTCAATAACTCAAAGCCATTCATATTGGGCATCATAATATCTTAAAAAAGAAAAAAAAAGGAACAAAAATGAATTAATAAAAAAAAAACAAAATAAATTCAAAAGTATAATATATTTATCTTTATTACCGCTAAGAATCAGATCGGGAGGATTTTTTAATTTCTTCAATTTTTTGAGAGCTTCGCGTCCGTCACACGCACAATGAACAATAAATTCTTTCTTCAACAATCCGGAAAGATAATTTCTCATGTCAGTATTATCATCAGCCAATAATACAACATGTTTTGTACCACTTAATGGAATAGGATCATCTTCAATAGGATAACTTCTTTCTAAATCTCCTGTGAAAAATCCTTTATGATCTATTTCTTCAACTTCATCAACATTCATTTTATCAATAGGACTCTCTGCATCTTCATTAGAATCCGGTTCGTTATTTTGAATCCATTGTAAACCTTCTTCAAGATATAATTGTTTATTATCAAAGAGTTTATTTTCTTGACCCAAGTATCCTTTTCCTTCTTTCATATCCTTTTGGAAGAGAAGCCTTCCCGGAGGTAAGTGTTCGTGCCCAGTTGGAATCCAAATCGTGAATGTTGTACCTTTTGCTAATTCTGAATCACATTTAATGCCACCTCCATGACGCGTAATAAGTTCATGTATTAATGCCAATCCTATCCCAGTTCCTTCGTGACTACGAGATTGGCGTGATTCTATTCGATAAAATCTTTGGAAGAGTTTTGGGATTTCTTCCTTCGGAATTCCCACACCTAATACAAAATAAAATCAATTGAGCATTAAAAATGTTTAAAAGTGTTCGAAAGAATAAATTAAACAAACCTGTATCAGAAACTTCCAATACAATAACTTCTTTATTTTCTACCCATTTGACAGAAAGTTTTACAGTAACATTACCGGTCCATGTGTGTTTAAATGCATTTGAACCTATAATCAATAAGTATACATAAATATAATATAAAAAAAGACAACTCGAATCAAATAAAAAAATTAAATATAAACACTTACACAAATTAAATATGATCTTTTCGTACATGTCTAAATCGACAAAAACTTTTTTTTCCAACATTTTATCAAAATTCTCAGGTATCTCAATTCGATATTCCAAGTTAAGTGATTTAGCCATACTTTCAAAATTAGATGCTAATTCTAATGTTAAAAGTCCTATATTAACTTCATAGTAAATTGCTTCCATTCTACCAGCTTCAATTCGGGAAAACTAAAATTAAATAACTAGATCAATTATGAAATAAAAAAATTAGTTTTGATTAATTGAGATAAAAAAAATAATTTTACCTGTAGTAAAGTATTAACTAATTTGAGTAACCGTCTCGTATTTCGTTGAATCATATTTAAATGTGGATGCATAGGTGAGTCATTTGAGCACTCTGAAATTACTTCATCAAGTGGAGATAACATAAGCGTAATAGGGGCTAAAATTTATAATTAATTAAAAATAAATTAATGGAAACTTTCAAATCAAATTTAATTTCATATCTTCTTTTCTTACAAAAAACTTACTGCGTAACTCGTGTGAAATATTCTGGAAAAACATGATCTTTTGTCGATTCAAATCTGCTAAAATTTCAGCTTGTTTACGTTCTTCTTCTCTAGATTTACCATGTGTTAAACTTATACATACTTGACCTACTATTAGCTACATACATTATATTATTGCATTATGATGTGATTAATGATAATTATGATAATTTAAACATAAAAAAAAAACTATTTTTTTTTTCAAATTTTTTTACCTGCAAGAATTCCATATACTCTTTATCTAGAGCCCTATGAGGGTTGATCCCAAGAATAATGACAGCAGTTAAAACACTTTTGCCGCCTGATGATGTCGTCACTGGATATAACACGGCGCTTGAACCATTTTTCAAGGTTATGGTGATATGTGAACCTGTCATTGCTACATAATGTATAGGCCAACTTGTCAAGAAATCTTTACTTGCAACAAAATTTTCTCCGGTTCTAGCTGATAGTTCAAATTTTGAATCATCATTTATCAATTCATTAATCTCATCAGGAACAACCATTAAATCAATTATCTCTTTAGTTTCTAATAGATAATCGGGTAAAACTCTTCTTGATTTATTTGGTACAAATGATATTTCATCAACTCCATCTTCACATTTTACATAATCTAAATCTTCATCAAACGTTGAAGCTATTAAATGAGCTTCTCGTGGTTGTAATGTGGATTTTACGGTAGAATTTTCTATAAGGTAAATGAGGGCATATGGTATATCTTTATTTTTTTCATGTAAAGTTCGAGTTACTAAGTGACATGCGTTTTCAAGAGATTTGGCTCCTATAAAAATTAATTTTAAAAGATTAGCAGAGCAACAAAAAAAAAAAAAAAAGAAAAGAAAAGAAAAGAAAAGGTGACAATATGTAAATTACCGGGAGTTCTTTTGCCTAATTCAGAAAGAGTTTTAACTCTTCTATTTGACAAAACTCTTTGTGTAGTTTCTTGACTGGCATTGAAAATACCACCCACTGATCCATCATCTTTAAAAATAGGACTAAACGTGAATGAAAAATATGTTTCTTCAAGATAACCATCTCTTAACAAGAAGAAGAATCTATCATATTCAAATTTTCCTTTTCCAGTGCTTAACACTCTTTTTATTGTAAAAAGATTAGATCAAAATTAATTTAATTATTAGAAAGAAAAAAATGAAAGTAAAAGTATTAATTAACTTACTCATTAAATAATGGTTCAAGATCATCATAGATTTCGGCCCATACTTCTTTAAATGGCTGGCCCAATGCTACGCAGTTAAAAAAATTTTGAGATTAATAATTACAAAGTCACGTGACAATCATAAATTGATCTTAAATCAAACCTTGAGGATGTTTCATTTTTAGTATTGGTATCCACACTAATGTTAAAAAATCAATTAAACAATTAGATGATGTAATGATTACGTAAGATAATTTGAGAACATACTTTGGTTATATATGTTAACCAAATCTGGGCCATAATAAATCGCTATCGGAAAAACCGAATGCATACACAATTTCTAAAAAAAATTCCAAATGGTTCAAAAAAATTAACGAAGAGAATCTTTACAAAATTGAATAAATAAAAACAGAGAAAAAAAAAGATTTACCACAGTGGATTTGAGGGTATTTTCCCATTCATCCATAGGACCTAGTGAAGTAGAAGACCAGTCAAAAGATTCGACCAAATCAGCAGCCGGAATTTGATCATATTGATTAGGAAATTCGGAAAAATTTGAAATATTTTCAGTTCCGGCAAACGACATAAAAGCTTATATTTTTCAAAGAAGACAAAGAAAGAAGAGAGGAGGTTGTTCAAAGAACAAATGAGGTTAAAATTTTTTTAAAGTCGAACAATTAAAAATGAATGATATATAAATAGTATAAATTAAATGACGATGATATATTTTTAATTTTCCGAAAACATTAAAAAAGTTAAAAAAAAAAAGAATAAGAATAAAAAAAGATAATAAAATAAAAAAAAAAATAGATGATAAATGGTATATATTAAAAAAAGATTGTTTATCATCAAAAGAATATTTGATAACTCACTCAGTGCTTTATCCATTAAAAGAATGATTATAAATAATATAACTGGTGGAATATATTTCGTTTTTTTTTGAGCTCTGCCGTTTTAGTAACGGGTATACTCTTTTAGACCTGTCTAGACCGTTCCAGAATCAAAACCCTACCCAAATCTTGCTCTTTTTGTATGAATTTTTTTACTTTGTACCTTAACCAAATTGGGATGAAATGGATGATCATCCGGAATTGGAATTAGATCTTCATATTAAAAATTCTTATTAACGGGACTCATTGGGAAAGGGAACCGAAGTTGGACAAACATTAAACCTTAAAACAATGAATTAGTTTTAGAGTAAATATTAGTAATATTAATATTATGTTCATACTTTCATAGTTGATAAATTACGCGTCCACAATTTTTCGCCCCTTGAACACGAAAAAATAAATTCCTTAGATTTGATAAGAAAAAAAAAAATTCCTTAACCTTATACCAATGTATTTTATTTTATTTTTTTTTCTTGTGTAATTATTAATAAGTCGGAATTCCCTATTTTCAACTTTTATTAAGTGAATAAGTTTCTTTTTGTAGTACGCGTTCCCAAAACTAGGATGGGGAGAGAATTCCGATATGCAATAACACAATTAATTAATTGATAAGAGGTTAGTAAGAAATTTATATCGAACTTTTTTATTTGGTAAAAATTTACAGATTTCAGATTTTCAGAAAAAAATTTCCGAAAGATTTATTTTTGACTAAAATAATATTAGTAGTAATTGCGTATAAAGAAGGGTATTAGGTTTTACCTATTGCGATGAAATAAAATAAAACTTATTATGGTTAAGTAAAGTTTGAAACACAAATTCTGTAATTTAATTTAACGAAATTTGGTAATTATGACCTTACTCTGGGAATTTTTAATAATTAATAATATGAATTCTCTCTTTTACACATTAATTAGCAAGATAAAAGGTTAGTCACAAACAATAATGCACTATAATTTTTTCCCTGCATATTCTGCATATTTCTGCATATACATTATGTATGAATGTATTCATTCATATTCATTTATTTGTTTATTTGTTAACAGTTTTTTTGACATGGTACGTGGATGAAATTTTTAATATGTGATACACGTGAAAAGATTTTAATTGCTCTCGTGAAACGTGGTAAAAAGAGTGGGCTTCACCGGTTCAACCCGCTAACTAGTGCTTCAATAGTTGGGCTTGGTATTGTTCATCAAATCTTTAGTCTCATAAAATTGATCATTTATTTAGTTTTTTTTTTTCTACTAAATGTATGCTATTTAAAAGAATGTTGGGAAAAAGCTTGTTTCAATGTTTCATGTTGCTTAACTTTATTCCCAAGTTAAATTAATTCATATAACACAGATTACACAGAGATTAAACAGATACAAGTTCAAAGAAAATTATTAATGGGTAAGATAACATGTATAATAATAATTATACAGCATTTATTCATAATATATTTTATATATTCAGATTAATTGATTAAATTTGTAATTAACAAAGTTACAACATATCAATGGGTTAAATGATTTAATACCAGCTAAATTTCAAGTTTTTTTTATCCGTTAAAAAAAAAAGAGGTGGATCTTTTCTGTTAATTCTGTTAAGGTTGTTTTTCTCTGAAACACAAAATACTCAACCTCAAGAACACAGCCACGATCAAAATTTTTTCTACTTTTAAAAAGAAACATTTTTTTTTTTGAAATATATGATTAACCAATCAGTTTTTTTGTCAGTTTTTTTATATATAAAACCAATGGTTAACCAGTAGATCTAAGACTAAAACTGAACTGTAACTGAACTGGTAAAAACTGGTTATGATCAGTTATAACCAAACTTTGGCATCTCTAATCACATATATAATATTTGTAGAAGGACATTTTTATTTCTATCAAATTCTTTTCATTAAAATGCGTCAAATAGTGGTAATTTTATATTTCTAGGGTTAATGAATAAAAAAATATTTCAATTTAAATTTAGCTACTATTTGTTATAATTTGTCAATCAATTTATTTTTAAAAAATCATTAATCAAATTGAACTTTTTTTTTGATTTTTACTTAGAAAATACTATAAAATTTATTATAAAAATATTGGTTTATATAATAAAATATTTTAAGGTATTTAAAAGTATCTTTAATTAAAAAACAAAATTGCAGGCAAATTTGGCTGCAAAACAGTTTAAGGGATAGTTTCT